CATATATATATATATAGATATTTCGCAAACGCGCTCGTCGAGGAAAAACGGTCTCCTCGCGCCTGCGAATCAGACTGCCGGTGTACGTGAACGAAATACCGATTTTATTATTACTATTTCTTTTTATTTTACAACGAATAAAACAAACCGGACGTGAGATTCGCCCTTATCGCGGACCGCAATACATAGACGAGCACTGATTACATGATTTTTCACAGACGTCGAACGGACCGGCGGTGAAGCAAGCGGGATTACACACCCCACGCGTGCCATCATTTCGTATAAAATAAAAATTTATCGATTTGTTTTATTTCCGTATATCGATCCGCAATTGTAATGAAATGCCAGTATTCAGCGGCACGCCAAAAGGGTGGCTCTTTGCTATAGTCGCTACGCTATGGTCTTCGTCGACGTTGATCCTAACCTTTGCCGAGGAAGATTTTTTTTATTTTGTTTTTCTATTGTTATCGTTATTTCATATTGTCATCGTTGTCTCGCGAGTCACGTCAATATAATATATAGCTAAATGAAATACATAATACAATATACTCGTATCGGTGTATGACATATAGGTATAAGGTATATGCACGTATATGTATATTGTACTATTGTATATGGTATATCATAAATGACGATGATATACCGAAGAGTTGGGCGCGCGTAGATCGAGTGTGTCGCTAAAATTAATTTTCAATCTCCCACGACAAAAATCGTATTAAAACTTAGGTTATCGGGCGTCATAATCGGTTCACTTTTTTTCTAGCTTATAATACGAAAAAATTGAATTTGTCTTATAACTGTTCAAGAACATGCTAACGAGAGAAGGATTAAGGTGTCATATTATAATCCTTTGACTTTTTATTTTGTCAATTGATTTTTCATATATTTTATTATTAAAATATGCACTGTGCGTGTTTTCAACATTTTTTTTTCCATGTGATTTTTAAATTTTCATACTTATAAGTAAAACTGATTGAAAACAATAAAATATATGATAAAGTAATGAAAACATATTTACCGCCGTCTACCGTGATTTAGGCTAAAATTAAATTAATAAGTAACAACAAACATACATAATATACAAACTCTCCTTATACACGATTTATTAAATTATAATTAATGTAGCACTGATGAGTAATCGTAAGAATATATGTTTTTTGCTACTTATTATAACGTGGTCTAAGAATATCCAATCCTTTTCAAAAAATTTAAGCACACCGCGCTGGTTTCCTACAATCGCGATGAAATAAATGCTCCGAAATCGACATACAGACTACAACGGTAATAGTAGTTAAAAAAAAATTATAGAAATTAATATTGGCGCTTGAAGAAAAACAAACGCCCCATTAGACCGTATATTGTATAGTTGCCAATCCAATGTCGAATTTAAACCTATAGTATATTAAGTAGTGTACGAAATTACGATATATACGCGTAGAACGAGGACCATAAGAGAATTATCTATTGATAAATAACCTTATGGTTTATCTTATGGTTCGTACGTGCGACGTAGATTTATTGTTATTATAAACAGATATACGAACACTGCACGCACGTCAGACGAGACGAAGAAGTGTTACGACGACCACAGATACACATGCCAATGCTATACTCTGTGTGTGTGTGCTTGTCACTCTTTATAATATAGTTATTACTAGTCTTTATTAATAATATTATATTATACGAGTGTCGCAATTTTTTATTTTTTTTTTTCAATAATTATTATCATTAAACAAATCGAATGCCATCGTAATGATGACGATGACGATGACGATAATAATAATAATACTCTCGCTTATGGGGTTTTACGTTGTCGGTTTATCCGGCGATTTCCGTCCGCATAATTGCACAAAACGTCCTCGCGTGAATAATAATAATAATAATAATAATAATAATAATAATTGAACGCGGCTCGTAATCACCGGAGAAGGAATGCGAGGCGCAAGTGTGAGTGTGTGTGTGTGTGTCGCGCAGTCCTGCGAGACAATGGTCGATGATTTACGTCCGAGCCCGCGTCACGCGACGCGCGCGACCTTTTAAGCGATGCGTTTTCTGCGCCCGATTTGCACAGAGCTGGTAGTATTAATTATTTTCGGTTTTAGGTGCTCGGAATGTGTGTGTGTGTGTATGTACTGCTGTGCACCACACTGTACGCGCACACGCACACACGGGTCGTGCTCACATCATTTCCATTATTAAAGTCGGCATACCGTCGTCGTCGCCGATTTTATCGTGCACACAGTAAACGTGTATATTATATTTGTACAGACCGTCGGCGTTGTCGTTACAGTGGCGCCAGTGGCGGCGCCCGCCGGGTCCACCTTGATAAAATAATGTATTGCATGACTGTATATATATATATATAATAAAAAAAAAAAATAGTAATAAACGCTGGTTTAGTGACTATTAAAAGAAAAAACAACTACAAAAAAAATCTACAGCGCTAATATGATATCAGTTTTAATATTAGGTACGATATATCGTAACACGTATAAAAATAAAAAAAATAAAAACGTTATTCGTCAAAGTTTAAAAAAAAACTTCAATAACGTTTGCGTGTCAATAAATTACGTGTTACACGCAGTGTAGATATATACCTAGGTGTATATATATAAATACAATGCACATAGATTGAACTAATAATTATAATTATTATTATAATACGTGAATATAATTATTATTATTATTATTGTTATTTTTATTTGATAATATGCCTGTCGACCGCTGTGTGACCCGCGAGTATCGCCTCGCTAGATGTTGAATATCGGCGCAAAATAAATATAAATTTTAAAACAGTCGGCGGACGACGTCTGGCGCAAAAATCATAAATCGGCCACGGACAGCCGACCGGCCCGCAACTAGGTTACGATATAGTTCTGGCACCGCCGCCGACGAAGTAATGTAGTGTTATTATACGCGATTAAATTGTTACGATTTACGATATAATATTTTATAGTACCACGACACATTCGGCATTGTATGGCCGTAAAAAAAAAAAAAAAAAAAAAAAAAAAAAAAAAAAAAATAGAAAAAACGCGAAAAACACCCGAATCGATTTTCCACCGCAGCGTACAACGATGGCCGATAACAAACACGATCGCATAATGTAATATTCGCATGCATGTGGGTGGTGTGTATGAGGGTGTGTTCCTTAACTGGTATTTGAAAAGTTCCTACTCTAGTGAAACTCATTCTTGTACACTGCGCGTCTTTGTTCGCTCGCAGACAGAAAAAATAGTTATATATAAAGTTCGTCCTTTCGAATCCTTTAAATTAAGTTACTGCGCCGAGACTCGGTACCTATAGTATAATATACCTACCTATACCTAGCTACTATATTATATTATGTTGTTTTCCGCTTAATCGTCTTTATCGCACCGGTATCCGGGGCGGGTGTTCTTTCGGTGCAAATCATAATAAGTATCATACCGATATCAAAGCGTAGTTATTTATCTATCCCTGGAAAGCTTAGCGATTTTTCGATAAGGCTGTTTTGTACATCGTTACGTCCACGCAAACAAAACTTTTCTCTGGTAATGGCATAATACACATTTTTTAGCAAAGTAAAATCGGTATTCTTTTTTTTTCATTTTTTTTTTTTTTTTTTTATCATTTATGAATGATTTTGATAAATAAACGAAATTTTACTTGGAAACAAATTGAATTTACTACCAACTTGAAATGAATTCATACGACTCTACAAGGATTCAAAAATAATTATACTGAACAAGATATTATTATACCTAATAAATTTAATTGAAATTATATTCAGCATTGCGATAGTTTTTTTTTTTTTTAAAAGATTAATCAAATCAATATTTTTAGATACGATATACGAATAAATGTGATGCAATTTACGATATCGAAATTTTAAATATAATATTATTGACTATCATTAAGTCTAACACGAGTACCTACTTAGATAATATTATTATCATAGTTTGAATACTTTTAGACGTATTTCATTGTACATACCAATTTTAATAGCTATGGCAGCACTACACTCTAAAATTTAATAAATATCTTATTAAAATTATTTATAAAATAATTGCTATTAGTTTTAACTCAAAATGAACTGAATGAACATATTTGATACTAATAATATAGTATCATAAGTCATAACTTTAGATACTCATTTAGTTGTAAATTTTGAATAATTTTAATCGTCTTCTTTCTTTATAAAAGATTTAAATATTAAATATTATTCTTTTATGAATTTTATATGTATTAATCGATGCTTGTTGAGGCCCTTAGTAGTGTATAACATTAATACATACAGTTTCAGAATTTTTAATTGCACTTTGTTTAACAATATTATTATTATATTTAAGAGTACTTATAAGTTATAGTCTATTAGCATATTTACCTTAGCATTTTAATTATTGAATATCATTAATTTATGATCAATACATCTTATAAACCTGTATGGTCCTTAATTACATTAAAATAATAATCGTAACACACACATTTTATCAATAAAAGTTCATATTTCCCAACATAAGTGAACATTGGGGGTGTACAGAGTATGCTGTGTCATCCCTTAACAAAAATAAGTTGTTTACGAATTATGCTTTTTAGATTCTGAGTGGAGCGAGTCATTGTGTATATCCTTATGATACAGGTAAACTGACATTTTGTAATTTTTAGTACTCAGTTACTTAATACAACGCAAAGAAAATATTAAAATAATAATATTTTTATTGAGAGAGGAGTGAGGTTAAGATTTCTATAAATATTTGCACATCCAGAACATGAAGGCTTGCTCTACCAATGCTTCTCTAGCTCTATCGAGTAAGATTATAATATATCTGTGTACAGGTATCTAATTAAAAAATGAATCAAAGTTTACAGTTTTATATTTTATAGCCTAATGTATTTAAAATATACAAAATACTTGTTGGGAATATTGCTACATTTTTAACTTCAAAAAGTTCGAATAAAAAATATTCTAAATAATTTTTGACCATTTTTTTTTTTTTTTTTTTTTGTCTTATTTGCAGGCAGCGCCAACAGCATATTTGACCGGAATCCCTGGCGCAAGTACCCAGGTCGGTAACACTTACACGCCATACTTTAGCGCCGCCGGTCCGTTGATTGGACCGACCACAATAATCACTTCAGACCCGAACAATCCGCTAGCAATGGCCGTACAGCAGACAATGGTTACTCAACAGAAAATGCCTAGGAACGACCGTCTAGACGTTAGTAAAATAAAAAACAAATCTTTTTTTAACCTTATAGTTTCATATTTATTTTAGGTATTAATCTTTGTTTTGAAAAAACATGAATGAAAAAAAAAAGCATGACACAACGGGATCAAACTATAATATTATCATTATTATACTCGATCCCTTTAGCTAAACATTTAATTTTTTTTTATTTTCAATTCTTACATCTTTTTAGCTAATACCTACGTTTTCTCACAATACGTGGTGTTGTTTTTGTTATTTTATATTATTAGACTAAAGAATTATTACTATTTTAATATTATCACCTGTTATATTTATATATACCTATATAGTAGCTTTTTTTACACAAAATTATTATATTATTACATGCGTACTTCTAATACCTATATATACTACTTCTAGTGCGTACATAATATAGAGACATCTACGATTATATTAATACTAGATTTCATCTTACCACGTGGTTATTTATTATAAGCATTATACTTTTGCTAAACAAACTCGCATCAGCCAATAGAAATGTAATTTGTTTGATTATTTATTATTATTTTAACTCATAACGTTCTCGTAGATTTATATGATGCCGTTAGCAAAATTATGTTTCTATTGCTTATCTGAAGAAAAAAACGTATTACTGTTAATGCGATAAAAGTTTTTATATTTAGCGCACACCTTTTTATTTTATTTTTTATTTACTATACATACATATTATGAATACACTGTTGTTACTGCGACTGTTGTGTGGCTTTTATCTAATTACTTTTTAACTTACTTATAACAAGAAACTGAGAAGGGTATTGCGAATTGAAAGATTTTATATGACATTACGATATCAACTTAACTCCGTGACCCGTACAATAATCCAAAGGTGGGCAAGTTAATAAAAATATTTAACTCAAGTTTAGTTAAGTTAAAAAACCACAAGATCGATAAGTTAGAAGTTAACCGTTAAAAAATTATAAATTTAACTCAATAAGTTAACATTTAATATAGAAAGAAAAAAATGCTCACTTAACTCAGTTTAAAAAAAAAATTATTTATTTATTTTTTGATTAGTATGCAAATCATATAAAGAATGATTACTTATGTTTTTCTAATTTACTAAATTATAAAAAATAATGTTATTTAATTTTTATCATAATACACACTGTACAGTGTAAATACCCTTTTACGTTACGTGATATATTATTTATTAATTTAAACTATACACATCTAAAATTAATAATTTAACAAATATTATTTTTTTTATAGAATATAGCAATTGAAGGTCATAAAACATTAAAACAATACAATTTATAATTCATAAGTTGAATGGAAAATAAACTAACTAGTTAAGTTATAAAATTTAAAAAAATTAACTTTTTAACTAGTTAATGCCCACCTTTGCAATAATCTACTACCACAATAATTGTACCAACATTTAAAGTGCGTCTCAATGATTCGGTCCTGTTGTATATAATTATTAGCACCAGTTATGCAAAAATTAAGTCTGTAAAAAACTCAATAAATAATCATTTAATGCTACATAATATTATATTGTTATGTAAGATCTAGTGTTATAATGGTATGTTATTTACTACGGGTTTAGTTTTTATTTCTTAAGTAAATCTTATACCGAAAAGCCTTCATAATATTATCGTTTTATTTTGACTTTATTAGGAATATTCATTAATATATTTTTAGAATATACCTATTATAATCATTTATTCTAATAACTATAACTATACTATATATTTTTTTTTTATAGTTTTTATTTTTTATCCTTCATTTATTTCCTCAAACTTCAGAGAAAATTAATCTTAAACCGGCAAAAATTATATTAGTTTATAAATGTAGAGAACATTTTAGCATAAATTAATCGAATATCGAACGCGTGATTCATTAATATTAAAATTATTTGAAGTCATCATTGAATGACTAAAGAAAGGTTATAAACTAAAAAATCACTATTGTTCTTAAAAGTAAATCGATATTTTTCTCATCAAATAACTCGTATAACATCATTAATATGCATTTCCAGTTGATTGCTTACTCTCCAAAATTTAATTTACTCAATGATCCTGAAACGTATTTCCCCATTGGTAATTATAACTCTTTATATAATATACATATACATAATATATTTATCAAAAATTAATACAACTCTTAAACGCAACTAAAGAATTGATGATAAATTTGAAAAGTATTAAAATTTATAGCTAAAAATCAATACAAATTGGTCCATTATGCATTATACATAAAATAAAATAAGTAATTCTAATGAAATGCAAAAAAAAAAATCAATATTCTATCACTATTATCCATGTTGTCACAGGAAATATTATTTTTAAAACACGCCATCATCAGTTATACTCGATTAAGCTCGTGACAATATTTTCAAATACATTATGCCAAATTATATTACTGTATATGTGACAATAATAACTAACAATCGTAAACTTGTATTTTATTTCACATAAACCTAATCAATATGAACTGAATAAAAAAAAATATTAATAACAACGCACAGTAATACGTATAACATTTCAAATAATTTTGAAGTTCACGTTTTGAAATTTCTCGACGTATAAATATATTACAATACGCCAAACGGAACAAATTGTAAATTGAACCCGACAACAATGTATATAAAGCTACTTATTACATTTTATATTACACACACCAGCACACCGTATTGCAGCAACACCCTCAGGTTACCGCATGAACTTTAGTCCGGCTTATTTACGTGACCCTGGGTATGCTGACTCGATACATGTAATATATAACCCACCAATTTATTTTGGCATTAATAACTTTTTCCATCCGTAACGTTTGAACTGCACTTCGGGAGGGTCGCGAAGTAGCTGAATCTGTTGCCCGGGCCAACGTCGACCAACATATATAGGTATTATTGTATTGTTATCACCGTGCTCTTACCGACCAGAAATCCTATTCCCACCGTATAACCCGAGTACTAACAACTAATAGTAATTAATCGACAAACCTCCCCGTACTGATACCTGGATCTGTGTGTGTGTGTGTGTGTAACGAGGGGTATTTTCAAAACCTCATCGATGCGATTCCTTTTCATTTCGTCGGATTAAAACTGTTTCAACCACAGATTTTCTGATCGCTACTGGTCCCGAAAAAGATATTTACAAAAAACGATTTAAACTATTTTTCTTCTAACAAGAATCAGACGTATACTATAGGAATTAATAAACACTATAACATACACACACCCATACTGTAACTTTTGTGTACGGCGTCTAAAAAATAATTTACCGACAAAATGAATACAAATACTTTCGATTTTCTAACACATTTTTTCCAATTTTAAGACTATAGATTTTGTTTATAAATCATAAACATAAACTCAATATGATGATTTTATAGTAATTATTTTTATAATACGACTATGGTTTCAAATAAGGAATTTTCTGACCAGAAATCCCATATTTTTATTATACACTATTTAACCACGGTAATCTATTATTCAGTGACCACAACATGATCGTGCTACGTGTTAAAGTAAGACATTGCCAAATCCTGTCACGCGTTAATTTTTCGACCTTAGTATTAATTTTTTATATATACCTATATGATATACAATACCAAAATTATATACTTAAATATAATATCCGTTTTAAAGGTACAGATATAATATGTATATATATTATAATATGTTTAATAAACTAGAAAACTAAGTAACTGTTATATAAACGCAAAACCAATACTTAAAAGAAAAAATTAAATAACCGAAATTATATTTATCATTCATAATGGGTGGCGTAGTGCACGATCGAATCGTAAATTTGGAAATCGAAATATGAAGCACTATTATTAAGTATTTAGTTCTTATCAGATTACATTAATAATAATTGGAGATGGGAAGTTCCTAAATTTTAATAAGAATATATTATATCAGTAAAAAGTAGGCGATGTGGTTAAGGAGGTGATCAAAATCACAAGGACAAGATTTAGTACACGCGAGTGAGTCGTTGAGGTTTGGTTTAGGTAAATAAATATATCAAATTAATGGTGGTTCAAGATAGTATGCGAAAAAACCCCTTCAAAACCTTGTGCCGTTGATGTTTTACACCATCATAGCTTGTTTCAGAATCTTTTTCAACCAATTTATTCCTCAGTTACATAAATTTTAAAATATAATTTTATTGTATCCTATGCCTAAATCGCATCAGTTCACACTTTTTTGTTAACTGTACTGCTTTATTTATTTTTTTCAATAATTATTTTTACTTATTACGGTATACCTTTACTATATACGGAGTTCATAACACTTACCACCATATCGAAAAACATACTTAAACAATATTTAATATAATATTCACTCAGCGTGATTCCACAACAAAAATTATCGCGTTAAAACTAAAATACCGTTAGAATGAATATGTATAAACGCACTTGGAGTTCCTTTCGTCATTTATAACACGTGCCTGGCGTCGCATAAACCGTTTTGGTTAAGAATATTAATAGCAAATTAAAAATACCGACGACCATACATAACGCATTATGCGGAAGAACCGTCAACATTGAGGGTCGCAGAATATATGCATATACATTTAATGTATGAGATGACCAATTAACCCGGGTTTAATTAAAATGCCATCAGATCCTTTCCTGAACAAACAACGACAAAAACGACGACGACGACGTACATTGTATAATATGAACAGTCTTGCATAAATCAAATGCGAATGTAAACCAAAGTGATAATATTGCTCGTACCTATTCTAAAAAACACTGAGTTCGGCGGTCTTAAAAGAGATTGTATCGTATGTATATATATATATATATATATATATATATATATATATATATATAAAATAAATAAATAATGTTACATTATTGAATTCGTATTGTTATTACGTATTGTGCAGTATATTGTCAGTGATCAGACCGTATAGATAATTATTCATGTCAACCTCAAGCCCTATATTACGATAAACCAAAGCCAGTATATTTAATAATATATCTATCGATCAGCATCGTATAAGAGATGATAGTCCTAATGATTTGTTTAAAGAACAAAATCGCAATCAACTTACGCATCGATTTTGACAATTCTACACGAGTTACAATCTAATACATGATGACTTATAATTTTTAGAATAATTTGTATAAGACTAAAAAATATTAGAAATAAAAATCAGGATTATTAAAACATTAAAAAAATAATCTTACAATGTATAGTTATAACATTTTAAAAGTTCTAAAATAAAATTGGATCTCTAGTTTAGTTAAAATAAAATTTTTTATTTCTCAAAAACCGAATTTATAAAAATCCATTTAGATAATAATTCAATAAGTGAAATCAAACAAAAAATAATAATAATTTATTATAAACTATTCCGTGATAGGTGAAAAGCATACTCAATATCTACTAAATAGTCACACATTATCGGCACTGTCAACCACTCCGAATATTTATTAGCCCAAAAACATGAGCTTACACGCTACAATGCAGAAACACAATTATACGTAGAACTGTTTAACCTAAATAAATATTATATTTTTTTGTAAAAATGTCGATTTACTCTATCAAATTAAAAATAATTGAAAGAATAACCGGAAAAAATCCTGTCGCCCAGACGTTATTGAAATCAATAACTTCTTAAACTTCTTTTTGTTTTAAAATCAAGATAAATAATAACGACGAATTCGTAAAATTCAATTTTATTGTAATCTTTGTTTTATACATATAATTTAAATTTAAAATAATGTTTTTAAAACATTGATTTTTCAGTCACTTAATGAACTGTTATCCAATGCTGTATATTGTCTACAGTATTTCTTACCAAGACATACTCGTATTATATAATACATTGTAGTCGATTAATAATAATTTATCGACCGATCGGTTTACATTAAGTGTCTATGTTACCCGGGATTGATATTAGAGTGAATAAACGAACTTTAATAAAATTATGTGTCGTGCATAAAATATTTGTGATCTGTATTCTTCCATCTCGCTATAGCTAATAATTAGGGTGGCTGTAATATGTAGGTATCCTAAATGGAAATTAATTTCGTTCGAATAATTTTGAATGATGTTTGATAAATTATAAACTTTTATAAAACACCAACTTTACGGTGTTCATTATAAGTAGGGCTGGGATTTTAATGCCCTAAAAACTCTCAAAAAATGCCCTTAAAAAAAATGCACACATGACTTTAAAATTTTAGAAAATTTGCACTATAAAAATGCATTTAAGTAATATTTATTAAAACTTAAAAATTGAAAAAAAAAATTTTAATTTTACTATAGAAGTATTTTTTTTTTTCAATAGTATTGTTCGTTTTTGCTTGTTTCGTTCTATTGTACTTCTGTTTTCTTATAACCATTCATTCTAAAATAATAATTTAAAAAAAAAATTTTATCCATGATAACTTGTCGTGCTATATAATTTATTATTTATACTGTTGACAGTTTGCCGAAAGTCTCTTGTTAATCGCAAAAATTTTTGTTAATTTCATGAACAAATTGTGAAAAGTGTTCTAAAAACTAAGAAAATACACTAAAATTGTCAAAAAATGTTAAAAAAAAAATTACTTTAAAATAATCAGTATCACCCAAAATATATTTTATAGGTACTTACGGACCAACGTTTCAAAACACCCAGAAAAAAAGATGCCTTTGCATCAATCCCAGCCCTAGTTACAAGTATAGAAATGATATTTACACATATATATGCAAATACAATGATTTTATCAAATAACGCTTTATAACTATTTCAAATAATAATTTAATATAATGTGTGTGTATACTACAATACACAGCAATCAATACTAATAATGAATCTGCACAACATGGTTATCGGATGCAACCATCAATTTCATTTTATGTTCATAAACTAAATAATTATCACGTTTACATACATATACTATAATATATGCTCAGAAATTCGTAATAATAATAATTGTCAACCGTAAAATAATCGAACAGAGATGGTACGAAAATAATTTTAACGATATATAATAATAATAATAATATTCAGACACCATTATATAAACGAAGTTAGTGTACACAACGTGTAATCCCAAAGTTTTCTTAAGCTTACTGAATTTTCGTCCATGTCCAAAAGCCATAAATAAATCGTGGTTCGTTTTAAGATAGCAATTTTAATATTCAAATGTATAACTCATAAATGTTGATTAGCTAAGTGTATTTTATGAGGAATCTACTTTTGATTTATCGCATTAATACATTTGAACGAACAATTTTAGAATTTCGTGTCTCGCAGCTATTTGACAAACAAAAATGATCATAACGCGAATAAAAATACATACAACAAAATTGTACATGCGCGTGATTGTGAATAGTTAACGGACGAATCGACTACGCAATTTTTTTTTTTTCCAATGAAAATATTTCATAATTATGAAATATGAATTAATAAAAATAAGTCTCATTTTTACAAATAAAAGAAAAAAATTAAACAATACATCTTCAAACAACCGGACATCATCACATAATATATTATATTAAAGTTCATTCAATTTAATATTTAATTATTTAACGTGAATCCTGTAAGAAAACATAATATCGATAAAAGTCAAAAGAAATATTAATAGTTTCAAAGAGAAAACAATATTGACTTTGATTTAAACACTTATACAACGTTAGTATACAAACACCTACTCAATAAATCAAAAAATAAAAATTTCTGTATCGAGATAAGAGTAGAGTACTAAATATTGTTATTTATTAATTTATTGTACAATGATGTGTGCCAAGATAAAAAAACTATGTCTAAAAAATACACATAAAATATGTACGTATAGTAAGGTATCAAAGAAATAAACTCACGAAATGTTTTATAAAGGTATTCTACTGGTATTAAAAGTAATAATATATAGGTATATTATAATATACAGGTTACATTTGAGACTACAAATAATCGATTAGTGATAAAAAATTGATTTGTTTTTCACTAGATAATCATTTAATTTGTAAATTGAAGTGTTATTGATAACATTTGTTTCAACATAATTTGAATTTGATACAATACAACATTTTTGAAAAAAAAGCTATACTTTTAACTAACTTATTTCGTTTTTATTTCAAAAATTTTTAAATTTTCAAATTATAACATAAATTTTATATTCTTGAGTATATATTTTTTCGAAAATATCAATATCTAAAACAACAATTTGCAATATATCCCTGTATCCATCCCATTACAAAATAACAAAAAAAAATAATAGTATAAAATATAGTTATCTTTCAAAAACGTTGTGTTTAAATCACTAAGAATCGTGTAAAAAACAAAACAAACGAAAAAATGAGACCGTTCAGTGATATTTCTATAGTACCATAATATAGCTTATACTATATACATAGCTCATTGCAGCAACGTCATACGATTTTAAATTTTAACATATACAATTTTGTCGAAAGTAAAAATATAACCTATAATAAGTTATAATTACTACTGTATATAAACGTGTGAAAATAATTGTTATTTTTTTCCATTCAATAATCACCTCCCACTTCCCAGCTCAATGTGTTAAGGTTTACAATTAGTTTATCAACGAGTTATGTGTTTCAGATGGATATGAAAGCCGTTGGAACATTTTATTACGAAAATTTTGTAAGTAAATAACATGTAAATACTGTTGATATTGATAATGTGCAATTTTTTGATTTCGAAATGACGCATTTCAATGATTCACATTCTAAAATGATCTAAAAATGTGTTCTATGCGAAAAAAAAACGAAAGATAATATTATAACATAATAATGCATTAGAAATAAGAAGCATTCCGTGGTGCAGCTATAATCGGTTCAAGCTATTTTAATTTTTTATTGCAAACGTTATAACAAACTGTCATTGTAACATAATTATTCACACATTAATTGCCCAATGCAAACATGCGACCATTTTTGTCATCGTCTTTAAATATTAATATTATTTATACGGTCTGGTTTCGCTTAATCCATTTATTCCATTATTCGATTTGCTTTCATCATCATATCATATTCATTTTAGAAATCGATACAACGCTTAACATGCCTTATTTATTTTGTTAATTGCTAACATTTGCTTATCTGCTTGAAGCTTACTAACTCGGGAGAGTTGATTTATGTGTTAATAATGTAGTGCAAAAAACCACAGTAACAACGGATATTTTAGACCTTAATAAATTAACCCTTTCGCTGCCGGACGTTTCCAGCAAAAGAGAGACTAATATTTTTGAAATTTCAGAAAGCGTTATTGTCTACATTTGACCTCGAAAACTGATAAAATTTATAGAACTCAGTACTTAGATGATGAGTTTATGAAATAAATTTCAAAATGGTCTTGATTACTGTACAAATCAAAAGAGACATTTAATATTCATACAAAACTATTTTAGGCAAATACGTAAATACGGATTGCAGTAATTTGTTTACCGCACTTTTAATGAAAGATTAATTCTCATATAACTCATAAGCAATGTATATCTCATAATTTGTTTTCATTTAAAAGTTTAATATACGAGTACAACTAAAACCATTGAATAGAGACTGAAGGCTAAGATAATTTGAAAATTATAATAATTAATATTAATTTATTACAATTGTATAGTTTGTAAGCATTTCATTTTTTATGTATAAAAAAAAATTAAACTAAATAGTAAATCTACTTCTTATTTTATATATGTATATTCATTATTAAGGACTATTATCCTCATTTTATAAAGTTAAATAATTTCGAAATTACTTGTTTAAACTTTGATTTAGATGCATAAAATTTTTCAAAAAAAAAAAAATCATCCAATTTAAAATTTACAGTAAACAAGTTTATTATACTTTTCAAAAACATTTTGCATCGTCACAGAAAACTCCCAAAATGGTGAAAAAATCTAAATATTTAAATATACCATCTAAAGTAGGTACACTTAAAAATACAATAAAACAGAATTTGAATAAATAAATTAACTATTAAAAAATAAAAAGGTAGGCAAGAGGGTACTGTTTTGCTGTACATCAGATGTCGAGGTCATTGTTATGGGTGTGTTAAATTTGATTTAAATTATATTATATTATTGTATACCAAAAATGTGATTCTGAGCGGAGACGGTCTGTCAACCTATATCACAAATATATATCATAATTGTTTTTTGATATGCATAGCTATCAAAGTCGTCTATTTTTATTTTAATATTACAGTAGTACAGTAAATTAAGTACCTCCAATTCCAAAAATATCATATTCATTTTATGATTAGTATTTAATTATGATAATATATATATGTTTACCATATTATATCAATTTATTTAAATCGAAAATCAATTACTTTTTTTTTTTAAATACCGTAAAACAATAAAAAAAAATAGATTCATATTATAAATAGATAATATCTTAAAATAAATCATAAATTTTATTTTGTATAATAAAGTTTATAATAATATAATATATACGTAAAAGCTTTAAGTTCTAATAAATAATGTTTTTAAATTATAACAAAATAATTAACATCATTATTTATCATTTAAATAAGTAATTAATAATCTGTAAAATAAGCTGTATTTTCAAAATTTTAAATTTAAATGCTGTAATAAAAATATTGTGATTATAAACTTTTCATATTTTTTAATTGGTAAATAAACCATTTTCTAGAAACCTTGTATTAAAATTTCAAACATTTTTACCCATTCGTTAATTTTTTTTTTTTTTGCTGTTGTTATTTGCAAAACAAAAAAACAAACTAAAAATTTCAAGGCTATTTCAATTGTTTCATCCTTAAGAGAGAAAAAAATTAAAACAAAATTCTATCCACGATAACATCATGTAAAAGTTGTTAAAAAGGTTCATTATTTAAAATAATATATAGATAAGTAAATAAGTAAATAGGATATAACTTTTGTGACTTAAAAAATCGTGCAAACTGCGTAAAAATTACAGTTAATATATAACAGTTATTTTATACGAAACTAGATAATCACAATTATTTTAAACTAATCAATGTCGTAGGAATACATTTAAATTGTGGAGTGGTAATGCTGAATTCTATAAATTCGATTAAAGCTCGTACGAAACTAAATATACATTATTGTGTATACTATTTTATTAAACTAAAATTGATTTCAATGGTTATTTGATCAACTGCCAGGTGTTTTTTTTTTTTTTTAATTAATACAGCACGCCGTGGATTAGGTATAAGCGAAATTATTTCGTATCTCCAAAACTTTGAGCGATGAAATAAAAACAATTTTATGGCGCCATCTATCCGGTTTTTACAGCGACTTTTCAAAATATTTTTCTATGGAAACATCACCGTGTTAAAAATCTGTGATATTCACATTTTTCGTTGTTCTTTTTACCTATTTACTCAAGACGATATGCTCATGAATAGGGCTCGGAAGTTAATGCATTTGCATGTTTTTGAGTTATTAGATGTATTGCTAAGTAAGCTTATAACTTATTTCCCGACTTTGCGAAAATATTAAAAGTTTATAGTGCATATTATTGCATATTTAGTGATTTTGTAATTTTAAGATCATATTTGATAACCAATGATGTATTAATAATACAATTTGAAAATTTAACATAAAAAAAATATATACTTTTGGTATAATACATATTTTATTTTGAGGTTTTCTCTAGATAATATTTTGTCGTATTTTTCAAACCCTTAATTGACATACAATTTCCTGTTTTTATAAATAAATATTTAGTACAAATTATAAAATATAAAAATATGTTTCAACAAAATATTCGTATTCATGATAATTGTGAAAAGAAAAAATAATAAGTGCATATTTTTAAAACATATTTGTACTATTATGCGCGCATAAGTGCATGCATATTTAACACTTTTTGAGTGCATTAAGTTCCCTGCCCTACTCGTGAAACTATAACTCTTAAACCGAAATGGATACTAGTTTGTGTATAATCCAGATTGACCAAAAAGGCAAGTTGACCCTATCGGTCGGATTTATTTTCTAGTGAGGTATGCCGACACCGACTTATCCATGAATTGAAGTACACTCACACTCAAACTAAAATACATCGAGTGTCGTAATTTTATGTTTGAACAATTTTTTTTTTTTTTTAGCAACATTTAGATAATGTAATAGGTTTTTGAAAAAAAAAAAAACCCTTAAAATTTAAATATTAAATAAGTAGGTATTTTATAATTATTAATTATAAAGTATTAACGATTAAAATTTCAAATCATTATATTTTTTCTTTAAAATATAGAAGAGAGGTCTAGTCGTTTACCTTCTACCTTATCCTTTCTATTAGTACACAATCAAATCAAATAATAATATAAATAATCATTAAGTTATAAATATGATAGTTAAACTTTTATATGATTTATTTGTGAAACATTTATCAGTTCATCACTTCATTATAAACAAAAGAGATAAAAAATAAAGAAGTAATATTTATTACAAAATAATTTTGTTTTACAAGACAAGTGTTTAAATTGTATGCCTACCTCTTTAAGTTTTATTTTAAATAAATAAAATTATATTCGTATCTTATACTATGTACAGTAGTTAATAAAATAATTATTTAGATAAAACAATCAAAAATAATGTATCTATGTTTTAAGTACAATTTGATACTTTATTTTTCCTTGGGTACCTTTCTAATATGCGATTTTTGTTTTTAAAAGTAAGAGCTGTTAAGTTGTACATTTTTTTAATCGTTATCTTTAATACTCTTTATGCAGATCATTAATACAATAAATTATCATTAAAGATAAATAAGAAATCCAAGTTTCTTAGAAGTTAAAAGTTACAATTCAAGTTTAAATTATGATCATTATAAGAAAACAAAATTTTACATTTATTAATAACTATTTCATAAAAAATACTTGAACAAATATTTATTAATTTAGCCAATATATCTGCACTTCACATCCTAATGACAAAAAAGTCTATTATTTTTCATATCAGTTTGTTAAATATCAACAGAATCAAAACGAATTTAAAAAAAATTTACCTTTTTAAAGCTTTCTTACTTTTACTTTGTTTACATTATTTTATCACCCTTAATAGGCTATAATAAAATATTACATGTATATGGCATATAAGTTTATGATTCTAATATTTAATCCGAAAACCCACGGTTAATTTATAATTTTATAATACTCAATGTAAAAACTTTGAACATAATACTTACTGTTGAAAACGTATCTAAAGTTATCAAAAAAATAAAAATATTTTAACAGATGCAAAATAACGCAATAACGTACACCCTATACAAAAGTTCCCGTTATTTACGTATATTATTACACCCCTTGTTTAAAGTCATCTCAGTTACTTTAATTTAGAAAGAAGCGAATTATACTCTTTCCATATTAAAAATATTCTAACGCACCCCTCTAATTTATCTTAATGACATACAAGTCGATAAATCTTTTGAAAAACAAATTATTTGTACCTACCCTTACATTGTTCAATAATTTTACTACTTTTATTTTTCAATTCTTGCACTGCAAGTCTTCATGTCGTTAATATTTATACATATATGTATGGATAAACCGAATTGAATACATCAATAGCTTGTAAACAATACTATTAATTATCATTTAGATGATTTTAACTATATTTATGTCTTGATTTGAGCTTTTACCTTTTTATGATATACTAAAAAAAAAAAAACGCATGCTATTAGTTTTAATTATATTTTATGTTTTGCATAACAAACTAATTATATAATACTTACACAATATTTTATAATAGATCAAATTAGATCAAATTAGATCTTATTTTATAATATTATAATTAAGTTTATTTTGCGTAGAATGTAGAAATTAACTGCAGTGTGTAATCAGATTACAATACAAATCTGATATAAAATAATAAAATTTAAATATTTTTAATAACCTTTGTTTATTTGTACACCAGAGGTATATTATTATGTCATACTAAGTTAATGGCATAAAAAATAATTAATATTTAACTTAATATGTTTACATAATATTATTAGATAATGTTTATGTTATATACGTGCGCATGGTCAAACGATAAAAGAAGGACTACAAGAAATTAGTTTTTATTTTTAAATACAATATTAATAAACTTAGATATAAATCAGAAAAATATTTAATAATAAACGATAATTATTAATAAAAATTAACAAAATAAATCAAAAATCAACACAAATCTATATTATCTTAAACATATCAATCACTTAATCATCACATCTGTGTTTTTAGTTCAATTTATTCTTGATTAAGAATTTTAAGTGGAAAATAATTAATTTTTTTTTTTTTTTAATTTATGTAAAGTAATTTGCATTATGTACTTTTCAAAAAAACTATATTTCAAAGTAATCTGTTACTATAAAGGGATTGAAAGAAAATTTAATATTTTTCAACTGACCTAAAAGTATATAATTTCTAAAAGCATTTAAATAATAAACTCATCAAATAAGTACTTAAAATAAAATTTAATTGTGATTTTAAAAAACAAAAATACTTTGAAGAAGCTAGAATTTATATAAAAAGATCTGAAAATACTTTTTTTAAATAAAAAATAGCATTTTTAATTGTATCTCTCTCAAAATACTTATATGTTTTATTTTATAATAAGTATTTGTATTAAATATATAAAAATTAAAACATTAATGAAATATTTATTTAAAAACAACCTTATTGAACTAAAACGTACAAACGAGTTATTATATTTTTGATTAATAGTGATGCTGCGATAAAAAAGGTTATTTAGAGTTGGGTCCTAACTTGCTTGCAGAAGGTATGCACACGCCTATGAATGTAATCCGATAATGATAATATTATACAACATCAGCAAAATATTTATAGACTACAGCTTAGTTAACCTACTAAAAATTTTAATTTATTATTTTAACCTATTTTTCATTTATTTAAACGTCAACTCAATCATATTTATCATTATAAATTATAAATAAACTAAAATTAATATTATATATTATTAGATGAGTTAAAATTATTGTTAGTCTGATTGCAAGTACACTTATTAAGTGTATACCTACTTATATAAGTTATAAATATTTAAAGTACAGAGATTTAATGTTTTATTTTTTTATATTAGATGAATATTAATGGTTTCCAGGCATTTCCGGGAATGATGCAGTACAAACGTGCCGCGGGCGACAAGTCTGGAATGCCGGTGTTTCAACAAAACACAGGAGCTTACCAACAATTGCTTCAGCCATTCGTGCCAACCGTATCTTGTAAGTCTCATTAAATATTTACGAAACCTGTGTTAGGTACCTGTTGATATGGTGTATATTTGTATTCTTATGAATTATGCCAATAATAGAGAATTAATTAAATCAACAAGGTAATCTCGGTAAATATACGGGTTGTTGTTGAATAACTATTAGGGGTCAGGAAATAGATGTTCTGGAGAGCCGAACGACTACTAAAATATAACCAGCTATAAAGTTATGATATTAAAGGCTATTTAAAATTTCATATCGAAAGTATAAACCTTTATATTATTTTTTTTAAATATATTCATATATTATACCAAATTAGATAATATAATATTTTTTTGTAAAGAATCTGCTAACAATTTTACTAAAGTACATTTTGTTAAAATCGTACTTTTTACTATTTTTATCTTTTTAATTTTTTTAAACTTTTTTTAACAATTTTAAGATATAATAATCTTCTTTTAAACAAGTAGCTGATTAGTTATTTATAACTATTTAAAATAATTTAGATTATCAGAGAAGTGGATCAGTGGCACAACTAGGGGGGTGCAAAAAGGTCTTTAGCACTCCCTAGTTCAAATTTAGCACCCCCTTATTTTTTATAACCAACTGTTATTGTTTAAAAGAAATACCATGGGCCATGGCTCTGTGAGACATTAACAGTTTAAGCGCCCAACATTTTAGAGGTTTAGTTGTGCCCATGAAGCGGACCAATATTTGACTCGTTTCCCTAAGTTACTCCACTTCTCTCAATAAAAATTTAAATAATTATAAATAATTAACTAGTCGTTAAAAGTATTATTTTATAAATTAAAATTATTAAATATATATTGAGTGATTTTTTAATCAAACATCACTTATTATTTCAAAAATATATTAGTTTTTAAGAATATTTTTTGCATAATTTCCAGACGAAATAAAACAACATTTTTTTTATAAAATTTCGTTTTTTATTGTTATAACTTTTAAATTTTAAATATTCATAACTCATAAACTACTCGTCAAAATAATTGATTTTTGTGTATTGAAATTCTCCAAAAAATATTCTACATCACAATATTAAATTTAAAATATTTTAATTGATAATTAGGTAAAATATTATTTTTTTAAAACGTTAATAGATTTCGAAATAATGTGTATTGTTTGAATAAGAATTAACCTGTATACATCATTTGAAATTTAAGATTAAAAATGTATGTTTTAAAAAATAAGAAACTTCATGAAATTAACGATAAAAAATAGTAAAAATCTAATTTATTTTTCAAAAATTTCGTTTCTAGTGATTAAAAATTAAGTAAGAAAAATCTTTTAAAAACGTTTTACTTTTTGAGATAATAAGTGTTTACTGTTAAATTAAAAAAAATAATGTGCTCAGAGTACAAAATAGCTTATTATATGGTTAAAGTTATAAACGGTGGACCAAACAGGGTTATTATTTGTAGGCCATCCCTTCATTAATATTTACAATGAAATATTATCTTATATTTCTACTCTTAATTATTTTTAAGAATGCAATTCCCCTGCTCTTTTTCTCCATCTCAGTTATAATAAACTATAGTTATTCTACTGTATAATAAATAATCTTATCAAGCTTAAATTTATAATTCAATTAAAAATACTATTTATAATTTTTTTTAATTTTTTTTTTTTTTTCATGAATATTTTATTATAATTTATACTTATGGTATTTTTAAAAATTTAAAGCTAAGAATCTCTTTTATGGACTGTGGAAATATTTTTAAATATTTAAATATATTTTATATAATATCATTTATAAGTAAAATACTATTTGCCTATTCTAGGCATCAGTCTGTATATGCTAAACGTCTTTGATAACTTTATGACAAAAGATACACTATATATGAGCATGTAGGATTAAATTTTATAATTTCATGATTATTGTATCAACGAAATACCGTTAAAAGAAATATATTAAGTATTAACAATTTCGTATAACGTATACTTGTCCACTTTGACGATTACTGTAAGTTGTATAGTTCAATAAGTGCTAAAATAATGTTTGTTTTTTTTTTTTATATTAGTTGCTGCACCACCGGGCATCCCGAGGTATTAACATAACGACTACAATCCAGAAATCAATCTGTGTTACACCATGCATCCATTGTGAGTAACAAACATTGAACTTATACATTTACATAAAAGTTTTTTTTCTAAAAATTAATTACGGTTTAAATTTTAAAGTTATCGGTGATAAAATGCATTTTTCTTTCATTCGAACACAAATGACAATTTGTTCGTGAAACTCTTAACTTTTATGATAAATTTAAATATAACAAACAATAATTTTATAACGAAGATTCTACAATAATAATAAATATAAGTTAATTACATGTTCACATCGAGCTTTTTACACTAAGTGATGCACCTGTATCATAAGTTAAATTAATCAATATTTAAATAATTTTTATAACTTTAAACGTGAGTAGAGTAACAACTAAATAAATTCAGCAATTTAAAATGGAACTCGTCCTATATTGTCGAGTATATTATATTATATTTCATCCAATATATTTTGGCAAAAAGCTTAAAAAGTTTACCTACTTGAATAGAAATTTTGATACTTCTTGTATGAAACAAATAAATTACAAATTATGTTTGAAAGTTTCTCTTTGTTGTTCAATAATATCGAATTAAATAAAAGAGTTTGTTATTACTTATTACCATTCTAGCATTTCTAAATAAAACATGGCTCTTCTTATATGTTTAATACGTTATAAACTTACGATAGTCAATAATTTATAATTTCATCAAGTACCGAAATTCTTACAACTAAAAGATAAATATTAAAAAATAAAAAATAAAAAATAAAAAGTAAGAAAATAATAATAACTAGTCAATTGTGTAGGTTAGTAGATATTGACGAGATACAATATAAATTAATTTTAATTTTTTTTTTTTTGTTCACAGGAATGTATGGTCGTGGCCTAATATTTATTAACAAAATCACGTTCAATTCAAGTCATCAATTTAATACACCGTAAATTTTTTATAGTGTATTTTAATACATTATATAATTCATAAATAATAAAGTAGAATATGAGTTGAATATTATTGAACAATTTAATAAATTAGATTGATTTAAGTTTCCTTTATCCAATATTTAAAATGTGTCGGAAACTATGTCAATGATTATTATTAATCTAACTAGAAACGATGCACTTTGTATTTTGTTAACAAAAGTAAACTATTTTACATAGATAAATGTTAAAATACTATTGAACTATTTAAATTGTATAGAGTCAAGTTGATTACTCACTATATAATATGTAAACCCTTTCATATTATTATTTAAAGTCATTATTTTACTCAAAATATAACTAATTATATTACCAATATAATACATAAATATTAATCTATTGTTATTATATTTTAACGCACCAATATTTTTTTTTTTTTTTTTTTATGCTATTTAATTGTAGGTAGCTATTATACATTATATTATTAAATATTTAACAATATTTTTAGATTAGGTACTTAAAATTAAATTAAGGAAATTTTTTTAGGTACACTATTAATTTATGTACTACTAATAATAAAATTGTATAACATCGAGTTTAGATTAGAAAATAAAATTTCAAAATATAAGTAATATATAAAATTAAAATAATCCTTCTATATACAATAATAAATATTATATATGTATGTTTATATACACATGCATATATTTATAATAATATATTATTAATCAAATATTAATTGACATAAATAAATGAGTTTTCAATAAATTGTTATAAAAATTACAAAATTTAACATGTTATGACTAAATTGTGTGAAATATTATAATAACAATAATATTATATGTGTTCAAATGTTTAACCGCAGTATAAACATATATATATTATTATAATATATTATCTATCCAATTCTATATCCAATGATTGACTGGCGTTATTACAAACGATTAACATCGGCGAGTGTCCGTACAGTAAAAAATATTATTATTCGGATGGTTTTGGTCGCTCATACCTATATAGTATTTATACTTATTACGTATTATATAGTTACGAATTTCGCATTATGAACCCGGAGGGATATAATTTACCTGGAGATATTATTACTATGGAATCAGTATTATAGGTATTATAGATGCGCCGAGTACAAAGGAGTAGCTATTCGGACAGCCTTTGGTTTACTGCTCGTATAATCAAACTACAACTACTACTCTACCATAATAATACCTTCTCCATACTGCTATTACCACAACACACATACCACTATTGGTATACAACCACTACCATCACTAACTAATACTACTACTTATAAACTAACACTAACAATACTAGTAAAGCTATTCCCATTATATGCTACGATACGCAATGTTTGATTAGATTTACGTGTTTGAAAATAATAATAATAATAATAATAATAATAATAATAATTTACTTCTTAAAAATATTACATTACTGCAACTATAAGTATGTTATAGTAATGTTATGTAATATTAACCAAAATCCATCATACCGTTTGTGTGTAAATATAGAAGTGATGTGAAAAAATGTATAACACATCAAATAAAAATAAAATATTTAATGTGATTCGCGATTTCTTAAATTAAAACAATAAGCGGTAACTCTGCAGTTTACTACTAACATTATTATTCATTTTTTTTTTTTTTTTTAATCCCAGTAATTCTCTTACTTACAAAATAAATAAAATTCTTCTTAACAACCTGAGAGTATTAAAATTAAATATTACCTCAACGATCTCGTTTTTATCTTCCGATAAATTAAACAACAATTCATCATTATACTAGGTGTCAATCTAATATATCATTCTTACATCAAGAAATACATTTTTAGCCAAGTCATTTTTAACTAGCTATGTCACTTAATTAATTTATTTTAATTAATTTCCGATAAAATATTTATATATATATATACACCTAAATAAATGTATAAATACATACACAAGTTTCCAAATGTCCATAATCGAAAACTTTACTTTAAATTTCCACTGTCGTGTATCTCAAACCAGATTTGTAAGCGTATACCAATAATTCACCTTCAACTACAACTATTACATTTCAATGCTTCCAAAAAATCGCAATACATTCAATGCTAGTCCATAGCTACCATAAAACGAAAAACGATTTTTACACCGTCGGTTTTATTTGAAAAAATTCTACATTTACCCTAACTTATATTTACCTTATATAAACCTATATCGGTATATTTAGTTTTAAAATATAAATATTAATATAAATCTACACAGTACACACACACACACACACACCTATAAATACATACACAACACGTGTATATATAATTATAAGAATATATTTATATTAATTATTTATAGCCTATTACGTAGAGTAGTTTCACAAAACATACAAATAATTCAAGTAAACACTCAGAATACTTTAAGTACCTATTTTAAGTCATTATCATTACCTTAATATTTTAAGTATATTATACTTCTTATAAGAGTGTTTTGTTTGGCATTATTACAAATTATCTAATACCAATCTATATGTTTATGCAGACTCACCAAAATTCTTTATTCAAAACATTTTATTAACATGACACTTGCGACCAATACAGACCAAAATCAGTCTTAAGATGTTAAGTGTAAAAGTTTGCTATTTACTCGATGTTATTATTGAACGTTTTTATTGTATTACGATGGCATAACATCTTCAAACATTTTCGACACTAACAATTTTTGATAACGATATCCGATTAAGGATGTTTTTATAAGCTTTTAGGTGTCTTGGAATTTTTAAACGCCTGTTCATGATTAAATATCGTTGGCTGTTCTATGTAAAAAAATAAAAATTTAAAAAAATTATAAATTTCCAGGGAAGTTTATTTGAAAATGTGCGACTTTTCGGGCCATCTTGTATAAATTAAAATTTTAAACTATTAGAACTAAACTAAGTTACATAAATACATTTATACCAGAATGTAATCTTATAGTTAATTATAATTAGTTAACCTTTTTAACATACCTAATAGGATTTGTTTTATTTAAAAAAATTTTAAAGTTTCTATTTTTGTTCCTTTTTTTTTTTTATTTGTTTTTTTTTTGTTATTTTTTTTTTTTATTATTATTATTATCTTATATTATGAATGCAAGTTTATCATGAGAATGGTGAGACGTAATGTTTGTCCTTATTTTGATATAGTTAACAAAATATTAGGTTGTGTTAAAAGATATTTTTTTTCACTCAACATATTTAATGTCATTAACATCATACTTTAGGAAATGATAATAAGACACATCTTTAACGTAATGTATTCCTTTCTAATTAAATTATTGATCTAAAAGAAAAATTGTATTTAATTATATTTTTGACTTATTAAACCTTTAATCTCATTTATATAATATTTAACTCCTAAATTTTCGCTATAGCCGCTATTTGCATAATATTTTTTAACACATACTGTTTTTGTTACTTATCTCTAATGACGGACAGACATTTCTATAAACGTCTTAATTTTTATTATTATTATATAAAATCCCTGTATACATGATAATATTGTTATTTTTAACTACCAATTTAACTTATAATTATTACAATATATTTTTTGTAACATAAAATAAAAATGTATGAAAATGTTGTATTAAGTTTTTACGTCAACTCTTTGGATATTATTATGAAAGATAAACAATTATTTTTCATTTTAAACATAAGGAACAACATAAAAACAGACAATCAGAATTATATTGACATTTTAATTTGATCTTGACTCACACACGATGATGATTGTTTAATAATTCAAAACGGACTTAATAATTATTCTTTCATATTATGTTTATTTGTTTAATGTTTTTTCGTTTAGTTCATTATTTTATTATATTATAGAAAAAAACTAATTCAACATAAAATATAAACTTTATATAACATAGTACCTAAACCTACTTAAAATTATTTAATTAATTAATTATCCGTAACATGTTTGTAACATATTATGCACAATACTTCACACACACATATTTATAATGTATGTATATAGGTACATACATTATGCATATGAATATAATAAACATATATAATTGTATATGTATAATATTGTAAGCTTATATTTATACGTATATTTTTTAAGGATAGTTTTTTTTTTTTTTAAACTTCATTATGATTTTCGTGATATTTTTTTACTATAGTTAGATAAGAAATGTTTGTTATTGATGTGCCTATTTATTTTTAGTGATTATTATTATATTATATTAAAATTTTTTTTTTTTAATTTTCGAGAATTCTCAAGTTCAATGAAAATTTTTAAAAGATCATAACATTTATTATTGGTGTATATTTAAGACAAAATAAAAACATATTTACATTCTAAAAATATATAATTATTATACTTTTTCTTTCGAGACTTTGTACCTAACACTTCTATGAATAATTGAAGTTCTTTATACTAATAAAGTTAAAGTTTATAGTAAAACTTTCTTCCTACATAGTGCAGCCCATAGTAAGTATAACATGTGGTTTTATAATATTTATAATAGTTAGATACGTTACATCAACAAAATATAAGATGTATAGGTAGGTAAAGTTAAAATTGTAAATAATAATTAAATAGGTAATGATAGCTAATCCCAAGTTCAAAATGCAATTTCTAAGTATATTACTAAAGTCTATACTTTATATTACATTATTTTAATAGTAGGTATTATACATTCATTTGGTTTTGTAAGTAAATTAAATGTTTTTTTTTTTTCAATTTTTAAAATATTACCATCACCGACATAATAGTTTATGACATTTATATAAACAAATATTGTAACTTTCAAATTCTTATCTAAATTCAACTTTATTTTTTTTTTTATGTAATCCACAGTATAATTATCAATATTTTCAAACGATTTAGTGTAAGCCTACTGTAAATCCCTAAACAATATTTTAAGTGGTTTAAAATTGTACAGATCAAATAAAGTAGCCAATTGTAAAATAATACTTGAGTATTATTTACAATTATGGGATTTATTTAAATAAATACAGTAATTTATAATTGTATTATTTAAATAATCACTACATAATATTATTATTAATTATTAAAAACATTTACATAGATAATAATAATCATGTATAACAAATTGAATTATAAATTTGTGACTATTTTGTTAGAATTTATAAGTACAAATTATAATTTTGAACTTTAGTTAAATTATACCATGATATTAAAATTAAATTGACTAAGTAATCAAAAAATAAAAAATAAATGTATAGCATCAATAAATACTAACCAATAGTCAATAAAAATAAAACACTACCTACTCAATTTTATTGATGTCAAAAAAAAAGTTATTCAAATTCTTATTTTTTGCCAATTTATGGTGTTATAACAAAATATTGTCAACAATTTATTTTAGAAAAATTTATAAATACCTACACAAAATTACATAAAATTCACTGAATCAAATAAATTTAAATTGTTAACTGCTATAAAAGATGAACACGATAAAAATAAACCTTTAAATAAGATACCTCATAATGATTTAAAAAACAATTGATTAATTTTTTAATGCATTTCTATACTTATTAAGCTGTTCCATCTTAATATTATCACTATAAAAATGCTGAATATAATAATTTTACATCTAGTAGAACAAGAAAAATCTAAAGGTTACAGCAATTGAAACTATTAAATTATTTTAAGTCATTTATAATAGATATCCATTAAATATTAAAAAATATCAACCCACAATGGTTCATATTATTAAACAAACAACAAGGTATTTCACTTGAAGTAACATGAAGTTATAACATATTGCATTTAGTTTGGTAAGTATGATATTACTTTATAAGTTTACTAACAACAATTTAAGTACTTAAGTTACCTACTTTAATAAAAATATAGGCAAATAAATAACAGTGTTGGCAGAGCCGGCGCGAGCTATTTTGCCGCCATGGGCTAAATTATAAATGCCGCCCTATTAAAACTAAATAAATAAAAAAATTAAATAATCATATGATACAAATTATGCAATAATATTGGTTTATCTAAAAACATTTATTTTCATAGTCATAATATTTTCGTCATAAACATAAAATTAAAGTATAAAATAGTCTTTACATAACACATAGATATAAATATACTAATAATATTAATACAATTATAAAATTGCGAAAGTTTTAGCTAAAATGCCGCCCATGGATATTTAGACAAAAATTGCCGCCCTGGGCTATCGCCCAGGCCGCCCCTGCCTTCCGCCGACCCTGAGTGTTGGGCGTTGACTACTTTCCTGAATTTGGAAAAAATTGTTTGTAGTTCTAATTCATAAAAATGATGGCAAACATAATGTAACCAATTTTAGACCAATTTCAAATATGTCTATAATTCTTAAAATTATTAAAGCGTTATCATAAGAAAGTTATTATTAATCATGTCTATTTATATTTATTCTAAATAAATAAAATGTTATAACTTTCTCGCATTTATAAGATCTTATTTCATTTAATTGTTCAATTAGCCATACTTCTTCAAATATTCTCCCTGTCAAAAAAAAAAACACTAAAAATCCTCAACTTTATTCCAAAGAAGATAAATATACTAAAATATATATGTATTTATTTTTATGAGATACTTATTATTATTTTCATTGAGTATACTCAATGTTATTACCTACCTAGTACCTATTATGCTAAATAACTAAGTATGCAATTTTTGTATCATATGATTTTATTAAATAATTATTTTAGGCGCGATACAATTGCGCGTGGTCCTTAATAGTGGTAGATTTGAGGCAACGACTGCGTGTGCTATAATATTTTTTCTTTTAAGCAACGTTTCTAAGTATATAATCTCATAATAAATCCATACGGTTACGATACAAAAGTAGATTATGGTAAATTATTTTTACTTATTATTACCGATACCAAACAAACCTCCCATCACTAAGAGTAATTTGTTATATTTTAAGTGGATCAGAATCATTATTTTTGTTGTAAATTCCCATACATATACGAATATACCTATACTATGCACGATGTGATTAATGCTTTGCCTATTTACTGTCAGTTGTGTTCATGTATCAACTGTCACAGTGTTAAATTTTATACTTATTTTTTAAAATTTTATTATAGTATTTTTATCTGTATTTAAATATTAAAAATAATTATGATACAACTTAATTATTGTTTAATAAAAATTTGGAAACGTCGCATCCAATTCTACGCGCAATCGTATGCCTTTGAATAGTTAAAATCATGTCCTTTGTTATTCTGGCGTTGCACGCAATCGTACTCCGCCGACTATTTTTTAAACATTTCACCTACTTTATTAATAAAACGATAAATCATAAAATAATTTTATGTAGAATAATTTACGACTGTAAAAATTTCTTATTTGCATATTAAACAAAAATTGTTGGTTATAAATTATGGCAAATAAGTGTTACCTATTATAGAACTATTTTACAATAATATATGATTTATTAAATGACAATAAAAAAGTCAAGGTTTTTTTCGGTATATTTATCAAAGAATCAAACCATAAGAATGAAGATCCATGTTTAAAATAATACCTATTAACCTATTAAATTCGAAAATAATAAATTGTAAGTCATATTCAAAAGAGAAAAGTCAAAATAAGTTCTATAAAATGGAATAAATCATATTCTACAAAAGGTAATAATTCATTAAAATCCAAAAATGTTTAAATGTTTACGTTTTAAAACAAATTTATGTTTAAAAGACCATCTAAAGGCATAAATTAAATAATAGGCAACACTAACTATATATATTTTTTTTCATTTAAGCAAACTTAGTATAAAGCTATTAGTTTTAACAAATACAAATTTAAGAATATATATATAAATCAAAGTCAATACACTATAAAAACGAGTAATTTTTTATATTTTGAATATGACCTGTTGGCAGTGAATATTTTTATTAACTATCACTAGGTGATATTAAAAAAACAAATTCTCACGGGAAACGTCATAATCAAAATCAACATATATGCCTAAAAAATACTTTTCGGAATTAAGTATACAAAACCTATGGTATATTTAACAATACCATCAAAACTCACAACATATAAACAAGTACAAATAATTGATGAGTTAACTTTATTCTTTTTAGTTAAAAAAGGAATCAATAACATACAGTATACATATTATATAAGTATAAAAAAACTACACGCATTAAAATAAATATAAGAATTAGTTTGAAACAGGACTAAAATCAAATCGAAAACAATTTGTAGATATTTGTTGAAACGGCTGATGACCAGATGAAACATGTCGCATTGTCGCATAGAATAAATTGCTACTTGCATAGGTACTGTATTATTCTATGAGTGCCTAAGGTAATCAGCGACACGGGTTTTCCGTTGTAGAAAATTTCAATAGTTATTTGTACTTCCAAATTCAAATGATCGAACGAAATAATATAAATATATAAATAAATAACAAAATTAATCATAATAAATAATTATAATGTAATAATTTTAAACATCGTTATTTTTACGAGAAATCGTTGTCGCCCAGTAATTAAATATGTAGTCTACTAGGCGACAAAAAGTTTTCTCTAAGCGACATTTTTGTCGCCCAGTGTATATTAGTTAAAATATCCACTGCGGCTGTTGGAATAGCTTGACCGTGATCAAAATGACCAAATGAGACTGTGAGAGTGATTTATAAAAAAAGAATGGACTGAGAGTTGGCTGGAATATCAGAAGAATTTCATTAAAGTCAAAGCGAGAAAGCTTTTGCGTCGGAACTATAGTACCATTTGTTTTGTACGAGCTGCAGCGGCCGGAGCGCAACGTTACGTAAGATGAGAATCTTGCGGATCGTCCGATAGCAGCTGATAATGCGCACACGAACGCGAAATTTCGCGCAGTGCAGCTGCCGAGGTTTACGTAAGCCGCACGCGCATCGCTGACAAACGCACAGTTGCGGTTTGTCCTAGTCGACGCGTAGACAATAATAATAGTAATAATATTTATTATCTATATACGAAGAAATACATCCATTGGAACGGGACCGCCGCCGTTGACGGTAGTGAGAAAAACCAAGAAGCGTATTTTTTATGCCCGACATTTTCATTTTTACTCGCGACATTTTAACGCGGCCGCATCAACTACTCCACTCGGATTATCATTTTATTTAATTTTTTCTCGTCGAGTACCTTTACCCATTTTCCGATATTGATGAAATACCTACTTAACAGTCAACAGTTATCACCGTTGCAGTCCATCGAACGTAATAAATAATAACAATAATCATTGATCGCGATTGTCGCCGAAACGACAGCGACAAAAGCGCCCGAGCTTCGCGCTTTTCGCCGGACCCCGGAGTAGAAGACAGGCGGACCGTGCGCAAAACTCGATCACCGCCACTGCGTGACGGACGAACGACAAAATGATGAATACTCGCCAGTCGCCATTCACCGCGATTCGCGTGCTATCATGTTAACCATTAATAAATATTAGATAATAGATAAGTATAAATAATAATAAATAGACTTGCATTACACACGTACTGACGTGCCTAGATCTAATACTATTCGCCAGTAGCCACCTACACTATCGCTGGTGTGTGTGTGTGTGTGTGTATGTGTATGTGTATATTATCGGTGATTGTAAGAAATAGTGTTAGTGTGCGTGCGTACGCGTTCGATTAACGTCCTAGTTCCGATATCGTTTCGTTTTATACACCGTCTGTTTTTTTGTTAACATTGTTTCGCCACTATCGTGACCGCCGCCTCTCGCAGCCTCTGGAGAGGTACGTTTTCGAACAGCGCCACTGCGAGATCAGTGCAAGGCGTGAACAACGTTTTTTATTTCGCTTTTGCCAATCGCTTCGTTCCTATCGTAATTTTGATCTTAGTCTCGTTCTTCTGTTTCACCATCCATTCGTCAGTCTATTGACATGACAGTCGCTGCTATGGTCACTTGGAAACTACTGTAAACTCAATTAACTCTACGCTAGCCAGACTAATCGTGTCAACGATCTATCGTAGACATTTGCTGCCCCACTTCAATGAGCGTCTCTTCAAACACAGAATAATGAACGGTGTACCAAAGAAACGTACAAACTTGCGCATCAAAGCTTTCCCGGTAAGTCCATCAGTATTGTTATTGAGTTTTCTCTGTTACTCTGGTATTTTTATTTTCCCATTTTTAATCTTTATGATATCTACCCATTTGCCTAATAATTAAATCCTCACAAATGAATATACTTTGAACATTCTCACTATTCATTTTTATATACCTAACTACTTTTTTCGACATGAAGTATTTGTTTATACTTCGAAATTCAATAACTTCATCAACTCAATCAAAATTCTGTAATATTTAGTATTATTAGTTTTTATGTGTTTTTGAAGCATAGGATAGCTGCTACTGTTGATAATAATATACATTTTTATTTATTATATAATATGAAATGAACATTAATTACACATCTATTTTTAATAATATGAAAAAAAAAATATATCATTTGATATTTTTTCACCTAGGTAGGTTCCAATAAAAGTTTAGAAAAGTAAAAATGTTTTCTTGGTTAGTAATAGGTATTTATAAACATATAATAAATAAGTAAATAGTTAATAATGTATTATAATAACCCGAGTAAAACTAAATAAATATGATATTATATAATATATATTTGTTTATTCATATCAAATTAATTCTATACTAACATTCAATAAAACTACACTTTTCGGCAATTATTTTTAATCATATACTTACTCATGTGTTAAGTGAACATAATAGAAACTAATTAAAAGATATTTGTTTATTATATATTTCACTGGCTGAGACCTTTTTACAAGGATAAACAAATTAATTTAATTGACAGAAGATATATCTATAATATAGAAATATAAATAATATAATTACAGTATAGTATCATAATAACAGATTTTTGAAAACCATGACAGATCTTATTTTTGGAATAGACAAAATAATTCATAGTCAAATACATAAATAGAATAATTATGTTTGAACCACAGTTATAATATAAGAATATGGACTGTGTATTCTTACATATTCTGGTTGGTAATATGATTATTGAAAGAAGAAACTTACCAACAGACTTGCCCCAATCATAAAACAATATTTTTTTTATTTTTCATGCATTGTTAAGATCATAATAATTGATATTTGATATAATAAAAATATCTTATATGTCTAAAATTTGATGAAATATTTATTTTTTATTAATGTAATTATTAGTTGACAAATTATAATTCTTTACTAATCAACCATGGAAAATCAAATATTTTTTGTTTTTTATTTTCATTAGTAGGGTATGTTGTAGTTTCTTTATCTCTTACTATAATTAAATTTATTTTTTCTCTTTGTGCAATCCAAATCTTTGTATGTCTATATTATATTATTTAATTAATTGGTATCTTATAATATTATTAGGTACAATTTTTGTTTTATTTTTATAAAAATTTATATTTCAATATTAAATTGTTTTAAATTAATTAAAAGTAAGGTACATACAGTTTTATTTGTCTTTTTTTATTAAATTCATATTAACTTAAATCTTAATTATTTCTTAACTAAATGTATGAAATAATTTTAAGATAACATGTATGAACATTTTTTTTTTTATTAATATTAAATTGGTTTTAAATATTTTCATTTATTTAAAGTTAAACATAATAATATTCTGTGTTAATATTATTTCAGATGACAATGGATGAAAAATTAATTGACAGTATTTGGCTGTTATTGAAAAACGCTATTCAAGAAATTCAAAAGAAAAACAATTCTGGCTTAAGCTTTGAAGAATTGTATCGAAATGCTTATACCATGGTATTATTAAAACATGGCGAAAGATTATATACTGGCATGAAGGAAGCTGTAATAAACCATTTAGAAAATAAGGTATACCTAATCATATAAAATAATATACCATCTATTTTGATTATAATAATAATATATTAAATATAAATAAATAGTATTATCAAATCAAAAACATATTATTATTTTTAGGTCAGAGAAGATGTTCTAAAAGCATTAAATAACAATTTTTTACAAGTTTTAAATGTTGCATGGAATGATCATCAAACTTCTATGGTGATGATACGTGATATATTGATGTACATGGACCGAGTTTATGTTAAGCATAATGAAGTTGACAATGTTTATAATTTGGGTCTCATTTTATTTCGTGATTTAGTAAGTTATACACGTTTCAATAATTATTAACTTAACTCTTAAGTGCACACATCTATAATTGTATCGTTAGTGCACGCTTGCACACTGTATAACGCAATATTCTTTTGAAGCATTTTTATCATTTTTATGACTAATTGAAACATCTAGTAGAGTTTTATTTTTTTATCAGAACCTATCAAGAAAACAAATTTATCCAATATAACATTAAATGATAACTTTTATTACTTCAAAAGAACAAAATCAACAAAAATTCTTAAAATTGTAACATGCGTATCCAAAATATAGTGTATTGATAAGACAAAAAATAGAACATAGTCATAGTGATATTACGTAATCAATAACCAGGTAAATTAAAATGGCGTGAATATGCAGTATGCAGTGTCACTTAGCGTGCACTTAAGGGTTAACTAAAAATTTTTAAAAAAAAAAAAAAAAAAAATACAATATATTGCTTGTAAAAAAAATAGTTTTCTATATTACATTCACATTAAAAAGGAACCTTGGCATTGAACAATTATTTAAATAGTAACGTTATGGCCTGAATGGCACCCATCCATTTTCCCCACTGAACCAACTTACTATACGTTAATGTGAAGTAGAAACTTAAATAATTTTGTTATTTTTTTTACTATATTTTAAATAAGTATCTGCTCTCAATATTTATAAAAATATTTAATTCATAATATTACATTTACATAATTAACTATATTATTTGTTCATTTAGATTGTTCGCTATGGATATATTCGTGATCACCTACGAATGACTCTGTTAAATATGATCAAACTTGAAAGAAAAGGTGAAGTTGTTGATCGAATAGCTATTAAAAATGCTTGTCAAATGTTAATGATTCTTGGAATAACTGGACGAATGGTTTATGAACAAGATTTTGAAAAACCATTTTTGGAGCAATCTGCTGAATTTTATAAAGTATGTATTTAAAATTATATAGCTTTGTAATAACTGTAAACCTTAATATTGAAAATATTTATAGATGGAAAGTCAAAAGTTTTTAGATGAAAACAGTGCATGTATTTATATAAGAAAAGTTGAATCTAGAATTATAGAAGAATCTGAACGAGCAAAACATTACCTTGATGATTCAACTGAATGTCGAATTGTTGAGGTTATTGAAGTAGAACTAATTAAAAGAAATATGAAAACCATTGTTGAAGTAAAAAAATCCATTATTTTAAACTAAAATTGAATTTATTTTTCGGTTTATCACTTATATTATTTTAATAATTGTATATTTTTTCTATTAGATGGAAAATTCTGGTGTTGTATACATGTTGAAGAATAACAAAATTGATGATTTAGCATGTATGTACAAGTTATTATCTCGCGTTTCAGATGGTTTAAAAACCATGTCTGATTGTGTTAGTCAATATTTACGGGAAATAGGAAAATCACTTGTACAGGAAGAAAATATTAATACTAATGCAATCAGCTATATTCAGGTTATTATAAATTAAAATACATTTAATATGTCTCAAATAACTACGATAAAAATTATTCTCATTATTATTAAGTATAGTAAAATTGATTTTAACTACTTTTGAGAGACCAGGACAATTTGTTGCTAAAAAAAGATATAATAAATGTAACAAACCTTGAAAATATATATACTTACCAACTTTTTGGATGCATTGATATTTATTTTAATTAATTAAAAACATTTTTTTTTCAGAGTTTGCTGGATCTGAAAGATAGATTTAATTTTTTTTTGGTTCATTCTTTCAACAATGATAAAATGTTCAAACAAATGATTGCTGCTGATTTTGAATACTTTTTCAACATAAATTCCAAATCACCAGAGTATCTATCTTTGTTTATTGATGAGAAATTAAAAAAAGGTGTTCGCGGGGTAATTATTTTATAAAATTTATTAAATTATAATTAAGAATTAATTATTCTTTTTAGAAATAAATTCATTAGTATACTACAAATCTTATCAATCTACAATGATTTAAAAAAAAATAAAAAGATTCTGATTTTGATGAGTTCCTGATTATTTTCATCAATGTATAATGTGATTCTTTTATCAAGAAACACTCATGTGTCAAAACTTAATTATGTTTTTAAAAATATATTTTTACTATTCTTAATTATTGATACTAAATTTTTTGTTTCTATAATAATAACATACATTTTTAATTTCTTACTGCAAAGCAGAATACTGTTTAAAGTACTTTGTACATTAAAATCAAATTATAGATGAAAGTATTTTAAGTTTGAACTAATTAACTATTTGTTCAAAATTGCATATATCGCAATAATCCAAATAAATATTCTGCTCTAAGTTATGAAATTAAAAATTTATATCATTTTTAAAACTAACCGACTTCAAAAACTATGAAAATCAAAAATTATAAAAAATAAAATTATTTTTATGATTGTTATTTTATGAATATTTAAAAAAATTGAAAAATATATTTTAAAAAAACTTAAATAATTTTTGACTAATATGCTTTTATTAAATGAATCACCTAGTGAAACAAACATTAAGAATTTCTTAAAATCTGACCAACTAATGTTTTTGTATTTTTACACCTTAATAGGCCTTAGTAACATCTATTTTTGTATGTATTAACATTAGTCTATTGAGTATACATATAATATAATATGACATAATAGTGTTTAATACTTTAATTGTATTATTCAATTTAAATTATTCTCAATTATAAATTAAAAAGAGCTATAAACAATTTTTTTTTTTTTTTGTAATAAAACAATGTCTATGAATCTTGAAAAACAAAACTCACTAACTTATTTTATGAATTAATACATTTCATATCTGTGAAATTATGTTTGTTACTTTTAAATTTTTCTATAAAAGGTTATTATTTGGAATTGATAAAGATAGCATACAATTTTTTTTAAATTGTTATTAATTACATTTATAATTTAATTTCAATCCTTTAATTAAAAAGTGATACTTTATTCTTACAGTTAACTGAAAATGATGTGGAGGTAGTTTTAGACAAAGCTATGGTAATATTCCGTTTCCTCCAAGAAAAAGATGTTTTTGAAAGATATTATAAACAGCATTTAGCCAAGAGATTACTTTTAAATAAATCTGTCAGCAATGATAATGAAAAAAATATGATCTCAAAGCTCAAGGTAACTTTTATTTAGTATATTGTAAACTTTTAAATCCAAATTAATAATTATTTAAATTATCTGTAGACTGAGTGTGGCTGTCAATTTACTTCAAAACTGGAAGGCATGTTTAAAGATATGTCCATATCTAACACTATCATGGAAGAATTCAAAGAATACGCTGCTAAATCTAATAATGTAAGTAATATTAACATTAAAATATTATATGACATATATGTAATGCATAAATTAATAAACATATTTTAGATAATTTTGTTCTGTTTAAAATAATTTCCTGAAACATTGTTTTGGATTTTAATATTTATATATTTTTCTCCTTAAACTAGCTATAAACAAATCTTTATAAATAGCAAACAGAACAAGTTGTCTCATTAGTTATTCCTTTGTTGAAAACTTTAGAATTCAAATAAGGCATGCTAAAATAATATATTACAGTAAACTCTCAATAATTAGAGAAACCATATAAATCAAAAATAATTTTATAATAAGAAAAAAACAAATGTATACCTTCAAAAAATCAAAAGTAATAAAATGTGCAGCAATAGAAAACAATATGCAATTCAAATATTTTTGACTAGAACTTAAATAATTTGATACTATTTATTTCTAATAAACTTAATTAAAAATGTGGTTCAACTGGCATACTTTTATTTAGAAAGAATATATAATTTTAGCATTGAAAAATAATAACAGCATTAGTTTATTATCATAATAGTAGTTAATTTTTATAGTTTCTCAAATCACTGCAATTGATTATAATTATTTTGTTCATTTATCATTGCTCGAAGTCTGAGGAATAGTCAAATAGTTGTTTTAAATAATTAAAAACATAATCTGATCCCCTAAAGTATAGTGTTTATTGTTAAAAATATATTGGTTATATTTTTACTCCAATCATTAGATCCAGGATTAACAAAAAATGTTAAAACGCTGTATTGAATAGAAGTTTTATAGACAATTTTAAACTCCATAGATGATGAACCGTGTAACAATTCAATTTTTATTGCTATAAAAATGTTACACAAAACATGTAAAAATGTTTTGAAAAAACCTTAGAAAAATATTAAAGAAATAATATGCTTGCTCTAGAAAATAAAAGTAAAAAATTATAATCTGTAGTTATTAATTAAACTTTTTAACTCTCTTTAATTGTAATTAATTTTTTTCTTTCAATAATTAAACTTACCAAATCAAAAACCCTCAATAAACTAAATTTTTAGCTTAGTTTCCATCATTTATAATTATTTAGAATCTCTATATAATATTTATCTATATTATTATTATGATGTATAAAATTTATACTTAATAATTTATTTTATTGACTATTTTCAATAATAAATATTATATAGTAAACTATAAAAAATTTTAATTTTTTGTAGAAAAGTTAAAACTATTATACACTACTTATATTCTATGTTTACTATTAATTATTTGTGTATAAATTACAAACTTTTTCTTTAAAAATTTTATTTTAGCGATATTTACATTCTCTGGATCTTACTGTGAGAGTATTAACCACAGGATTCTGGCCTACTCATGCATTATCAAAATGCAATGTACCATTAGTTCCAAGAAGTGCTTTTGCAGAATACCGAATGTGAGTACACTTTAAGAATGACAATATGAGTAAAAATATTTTGAGTTATATTTGAAGTATAAAATTATTATTTGTGGTAATGGGTTATTGTTAAGCATCACAATTGCTGTGAAGAATATTATTATTATTCTTTAGAATGACATAAGTGTTGAGAATAATTTTACAAGTTATTTTATAAATGTTAAATTTTATTGTATTAATTCTATATAAACTTGTTTAAACTTCATTCAATAAATCTAAAATATTATAATATTTTATTTATATCTATAGAATAAAAATTGTCATATTTATATTTTTTTAATTATAAATTGTAAACATTTGCAGCATATTATATAACTATATAATATTTCTATACTGTAATAATGCATATTTTGTTATTTACCAATGATCTATAAAATAAAAATTGTTGAAAAAATGCCAGGTATGAAAATGTATTTTCAATTCTCAATGTTAAAATATATTAATTTTTATTGTTATTTTCATTTAACATGAATATATTTTTGAAACTTCCATAACTTTTGTGTTTTAAAATATAATTTACTTTATTTTAATATCCATACTGATACATATTAAGTTAACCATTGATATATTAGCTTAAAACATTTTTTAATATATATAATATAATATTTATTATACGAGTATTCTTATCAAAATTAATTTATTCACAAGATAGCAGTCTTAAAATATAAAATCTGTAAACCATAAATTATTGATTAAAAATACTTAGGTTATACAAAATTAATTGTAATTTCTATATTTCTCTATGTTCTATACTATCATGGTTTTTAGTTAGATAATAAAGTTATTTTAAATGTAGATAAAAAAAATAGTACTTTGTATACTAAAGATTTTAACTAATAACTTAATTGCTTTTAGTAATTTAAAAATATAATTTCTTAACAGATTTTATCTGGGAAAACATAATGGACGGCAACTAACATTACAACCACAACTTGGTTCAGCTGATTTGAATGCTGTATTCTATGGTTCAAAACGACCAGATAATGACCTATCAACAAGTGTATCTTCTTCAGTCAATTCACTCAATCCATCTACTGAACGAAAACATATAATTCAAGTATCGACTTATCAGATGTGTATTCTTTTAATGTTCAATACCCGTGAAAAATTATCCTTTGAAGTAAACTATTAAATATAATATTCATTCAAATTTAATTATATTCAGATTTGTATGTATTTAATGAAATACAAAAATTTCAGGATATTCGCAGTCAAACTGATATTCCTGACAAAGATTTAATAAGAGCATTACAATCCTTAGCATTAGGAAAACCCTCACAGCGTATTCTTTTAAAAACTCCTAAATGTAAAGAAATCGAATTAACTCATGAATTTTGTGTTAATGAGTTATTTACATCAAAATTACATAGGTAAGCTATATTCATGTTTTTATTTAAAGTCACGTTACTTAAACATCTGTTCATTTTAGAGTGAAAATTCAAACAGTTGCAGCTAAAGGTGAAACTGAACCAGAAAGAAAAGAAACTAGAAGCAAAGTAGACGAGGACCGTAAACATGAAATTGAAGCAGCTATTGTACGCGTTATGAAATCTCGCAAAAAAATGATTGTAAATAGAATACAATGTTTATCATTATTTGACGTTAAATGTTTACTTTATTAATTTTATTTTTTCTAGCATAATGCTCTTGTGTTGGAAGTTGTTGAACAACTCAAAGATAGATTCTTACCTTCTCCAGTTATTATTAAAAAAAGAATTGAAGGACTGATTGAAAGAGAATACCTATCAAGATCAGCAGAAGATAGACGGACTTATCTTTATGTTGCATAAAATGTGTATTTAATATTGTATATTAAGTCTTCCTATGTAAAAATTGACAAAACAAAAAGGTAATATTATTAATTGTGATCACGTTTAGAGGAACCACTAATGATTTCAACTAGAGATGACCTTTGATTGAAATGTGATTTTAGAAGTTAAAAAGGTGTACAAAAGATTATATTTGTAGAAAATTGAAAATTTCAATTGTCTAACTCGTTTGATATGTGTATATAAATTACAATTTGATTTTTTTTTTAATTGTAACCAATTGTGTTTCCTGCAGGTTTAGATAAACAATTTTATATATTAAAAATTTTTGCAAAATATAAAATCCACTTGAATTAGAATAAATTCAATTGTACTCTTATTTAGGCATTCATTAAATAACAAAAAAAAAAAAAAATTTAAAAAAATGACAAACTTGTTAATTTAAACTTTGTTATTCTATAAATAATGGTATTAATTTACATATTTTCTGTGAATAAATGTAGTATCATAATTTTGTTAAAAACAGATAGTATTTTTAAATATCAATTTGCTACAAGTAATTTAGAACAAAACTTTTTACATCAAAATTACTTAAAAATTAATTGATCCATCTAAATGTATAAAAACATTGTTGCGATTTAATTAAAATTAAGATATTGATTGTGCACATAGAAAACAGGTCATACATTTGAACTTTTCTCAAAATGTATATTAAGTAGTCTTAAAAATCCAATATTATCCAATTAAATAAGTGGTACCTCTTAGCATTAACACACAATATGTACATATTAATTTAGGGACCCGTTGTTCCTATTTGAAAAAATAAAATAAAACCATATAAGTAAATGAACAAATACTTAATAAATTCCTTAATTGTTTTCATTCAAAAGGAATTTATATTGAGTAATGTTATAGTCGTGTAACAAATTTAAGGTGCTATATGGTATCTTAATGTGAACCAGTGATAATTTCCAGTCACTATTTACAAAAACCAAAAAGATTATTACTCTTAAGTTTAATGTGATAATGATCATTTTCATCTATGATCTTTTTGTATTATGAGTTTAAAATGTGTTTATTCCATTTTAAATATATTATCAAACAAACTCGAATTGTTGTTTATTTCGGGACAATCTTTAGTACACATAATTAATATAAATTAAAAAAATGTGTTTTTTCATACTGAAATATAACCAAGAATAATATAGTATAATAATTTTAATAAGTTGACACAATTTAAATTATATCAATTTATAAATATTCAATTGTTTTATTTTTTTTTTTTTTTTTTTTGATTGCGTCTGTAAATCTTTAATTTAATGAAAAATTAATTTTTAAGTTAATGTGTTTTTAATGAACCAATTTGGTATTTATGCAAACAATTTTCTACATTCCAGTTATGGAGTATTTCAATATATTTAAACATATATTATAAGTGTGTATTTATGTGTATGATTAAACCATAAAATTTTTATTTTCCATTATTTGTGTGCTTTAATTTATTCAATAATAATCTTAGGAAATTTTTTTTTTTTTTGTTTGTTTTCTATTAACTAGCTAATATTAATATAAAACCAACTTGCATAAATAATCATTAAATATTAAAATTGATTTTGATTGTGAACTGATCATCCATTTTGGGGTCATTCAATTTTAATAAATTGATTTTTATGCAACACTTTAATTTTTTCAGTTACCTACTTGACAACACTTAGAATTGTAAGTAAATAATGTTTGATTTTTAATGTTATTTTTTCGTTTAAGTAATTATTGATAAAAATACATACCTACAGTATTGTTATAATTATTTTATGTAATCTTAAGATTAAGTTATTTGTTTTTTTGTTTTTTTTTTTTAACCTTTACGTGTTTGTACAAATTTTAAATCATTTAATTTTGACTCGATCATTATATTCAACTTTTTTTCATGTTTTTTCATCTGAGAAAATGTAATTTTATTTATCACCTCAATCAATGATACTGGACGTGTTACTGGTAATATAAAATTAAACTGTAATATTTTAACAGGATTTTCATTAGTAGTATAACATATTTAAAAACTAAATCCTTAATCCTAAATAAAAAGAAATATTATGCTAAAATACTTCATAATGATATAAACATTGTTATGATTTTAAATCCATATACTGCCTGATATATTATAACTCCATTATATATGTATTGAATATAAAATATTATTTCACATTATATATGTTCTTTTATAATTTTTAGATTTCCTAATTCTTCAGTTCTCACTTAGCCTCTCTTTCATTCATTTCTAAGTTAAATGGTATTAACATTTTATATTATACTATTTTAGAATAAATTGTATTTGTTTTCTTGAGTACTTTTTGATTTAATGTTTTTATTTAATTAATAGTGAAAAATCAACATAATGTGCATGATAATAAATCATAAATTTTGTTGGAGAAATGACTATCAATGATGTTGTCAATGAACTACTCAATCACTATTACTTACAGAGTATTATTTATTTATATGTTTCACAATATAGGTATTACCTTTAAATTAAATAAAACAGATATGTTACAAAAGTTTTTTCAAATCTTCTATAAGCTGTTGCTTGTAATAATTTTATATAGTTTTAAATTGATTAATTAACAATAAACTAAAATTTAAAATATGTTTAATATTTACACAATATGTATTAGTTAAGAATAATAAATAAAATGTGTAAAATAAACTTAATTGATAACAACATTGCTAAAAATACCATGAAAATAAACTAATAAAAAATATTACCTTAATTCTATAATAATTATTAATTGATATACTCTAAATAATCTATAATTTATAAATTTAGTATACATAAAATGCTGCGCTTAAAAAAGATAACGACTACTATACCTTATGATTATGTGTAGCAGGAGTCGGCAACTAAATTCTATGGAGTTCCAGAAAATCAAAAAAAAAAAATTTTGAGGGCCAGTAAAAACTAAAAACTCACGTTATTATTTAATAATTGTTGTATTATCGCAACTATTATTGTAAATAGCAATAAACGATAAACACCATCGTAATCTCTAAATACATCATAAAATAGATAAAGTATAATATATTATGTGTGGAAAATCAGCATTATTAAAAAAAAATATTTTTTTAGTCCAATTATTTTTTCTTCACGAGCTGGATTTGGCCTGCGGATTGCCAACCACTAATGTATAGATTTTTTATAGCCATAACATTAATATTTTTTTTGTGAATAAAAGTATCAAACATAATTTTATATTGGAGAAAAAATTCATAGAAAAAATAAAAATTTACTATTAATGACATATATATATATATATTCAATTTATGGAATAAACATATTAACTCACATATATTATCAATGGAAAATATACATCATTTATGGTATATATATTAATAATCGATCTATTTTATAACATGCAATCTATGCAATAGATATGTTATTAATTTATTTCATGTTTTTGTTATTAATATTATTATTATTATTTATTTATTTATTTTTTTTTTTTTTTGATAAGACTAACATGAAATGAAAACATTTTAGTATATACAATCAAACAAATGGAAGTAAATAAAAAAATGAAGTTGTTAGAAATTAATAGAAGTGAATAAAAAAAAAAAAAAAATACATGTTAATTTGAAGTATTTTGCGTTCTTATTCCAATTTAGGGGTTTATTTTTAGGACAAGGTTTGGTAAAAAATTATAGGTTTGAGGTGTACCATGAAATTGATATTTAATTTTTTTTTAATTCAAATTTTTAGTTATTAAATTTTTTTTTTTAGTTAATAAATTTTTTATTTAGTTAATAAATTTTTTACTTTTTAATTTTCTTATTTGTTTTCAGTTGGTCCTTTGACTTAATCGATTGAATAAGAAGTTGCTCATAAAAATATTTAAAAAAAAAAAAATCTTAGTAGATTGACTAGAAATTTCAAATTCTAATAATATCTCCAAAATCCTAAAATTTCAAGAAAAATATTCAGTAAAAAATGAAATTATCTACTGTTTTCATTTTTAAATCGCGATTGTTTTCCAATTATTTTGGAAAGTACCGTATTGATTCAATTTTCAACTATAAACTACTCTTAAAGTATTGTTTTTGCTACCAACCACAACAAGTTGATAAATGACAAACAAATTAAAATGCATATCATTATAAAACTAAAATATTTATTGAGCAATAATGATCTTAATATAAACAAGACTAGTATGTATTGAAGAAATAAGAATTAATTTAAATATTTATTGCTATTTTATGTCTATACTTCTTCAGTTGGAATTGAAATAATTATTATCTTAACATATACATAACTTTAATAAATTTAATATTGTTCATAAACAAATATAAATAAAATATAAGAAATTGTATACACAACAACAAAAAGAAAAAAAAACCAAAACAATATTAATATGGAATTTAATACATGTAAATGTATGTATGCACACAATAATTTAATACTTTATGTTTCATAATATCCGATTAAATGTTATAATAATTATTGATGTTTTTAGTTTGCATTGAAAAATATCAAATATCAATATTTATGTCTTGACATTTTATACGTCAGAGATTCAAGTATTGTTATAATAAGCTTCCTTTGCTAACATAAACTAAAGAATGCAGTGGTTACAATATGTAAAAAAAATTTCTTGGCGTATTAAAGAAAAAATTATACATGTACTTTAAATTAGCTCATAATATAAAAATATGTTTACTTTTTAATGAAAACAAAAAGTAATTCTTATGGAATAAAGAGTAAAGACATATTAAATACAAACTAAGAGATATAAACCTACTTAATAAACTAGATTTTCAAAATATCAAGGATTTGATTTAAGCTCTGTGTTAATGCATTTCTAAATGTATCTCCATCAGAATGTTCTTTGTAGTTAGTAATAATAGCACCTGAGTAGTCTTCGAGAATTGTGTATCTGAAATAAAAAAATCTTTATGTCAGTTATGTTTTTTTTTTTTTTTTTTTTTTTTTTGTTAAGTAATGGTGAAATCTAGATTTCAATTAATTGATCTTATTGCTAATTTCAACAAATACGCAAGGGAGTACAAACAAAACATAATATTTAAACATTTTGTAGTAATAATTTTTTTACAAATTAACTTAAAAGCTAATTTTCAATAACATAGTCTCATAACTATTATTAATTTGAGACCATTTTTTAAAATGTGAGATTTTCCAATACTTTTATTTTATTTAAAACAAATTCATCATGAAAAAATCATAATTTATTGATTTGCTTACCCAATACCATAACCATCTTTTACAACAGGTCCAAATGCTCCTAACCACACATGATCTGAAGTTAGACTAGAAGTAGATATGATATTATGATTAATCAGACTATAAGCAGGATCAGTGAATAAGCCTGGAATATCTAAATTGTTTTCTTTAGCTAATAACCGTAAAGCAAATAAATGACGATCAAATCCTTGTCCTGGTAACAAAAATTTATAAAACATATTAAACAATAATATATATATATATATATATATATATATATATATATATATATTTTAATAGAGTATTACCCATTGCAGCTTCCTTTACAAGTTTACTGTGTTCAACTGAACATTGTTTTATCATATTAACCAAGTCATTTTTAGAAGGTTTGTTTTTACTAGAAACAGCATAGCAAAAATCCTAAAATATATTTTAAAAATAAATTCATTGTAGATATTAATTTTTAATTTCAACAAGAATTTTACTAATTATACTTACGGCAGTCTTCATAGTACATGGTCTTACAGTTTCTGTTCGTCCTTGTTTGAATGCTGCTGTACTACATGATTCATAAGTACCAACATGTTTTTTATGTAATTTATAATGACCCAGCTAAAATATATTTAAATTAATTTATAAAATACATCATACATGCATACTTGATTTCAAATAGTTTAAGACATTTTTTTTTTTTTTTATATATAATCTTAATTAATTTGTATTGTAATTACCTGGAAACACAATTGCATCAAAGAATCTGCGCTTATTCCAAATTTTTTACACATTTTTCTACCAACATCAAAAAACTCAAAGTAATTAACATCCAAAGATTCATATTTACATTGGAATTCATTCTTGACTTTTATTATATCACATTTCATTTTTTCATCCAAATTGAATTCTAAAACATAAAATAAATTAGTGGTTATAGGTTATTAACATCAAATATATAATAACATATTTTTTACCGCTCTAATAAATTAATTAAAATTGAAGAAATATTTTCAATTATCTCTGCAAAGAATAAGAAGTATTGATTATTCTCTATAAATAATACACAAATAGGCACTCATGATCTTGACATATACATATATTAAATATTTTAACCAAACACCAAAGACTGGCCTTGAAATATTATAAAATTCTGATATATAAACAGCTCAATCATTCAATATAAAATGTTAATAAATCATACATTTAACTTAAAGAGAAAATTTCAAGGGAATAGATGACAACTTCAACTAAAAATTATCAACTAACCATGATAAAGTACTTTAAAAGCTTCCAAGCAAGGTCATAGTTAATAGACAATCATTATTCATTTTTTAAATGTTTAGTTAAATATGAAATGTTAAATGTTTAATTTAGGTATTTCGGCTTTATAATAATTTCCAAATTTCATAGCAAAAATTAGTAATAACAGAACATAGAACTATGTGTTTATACAACAGAACTACTTTTTATCCAGTAATATTCATAACATAAAATTATATTATTAATATTGTATTTGTATACACAATTTATGATAATAGTTTAATGTGCCTACGACCTGATAACTGATTCATTTTTCAAACTGATAATTTTTATTGAGTGTTTTTAAGTTAACGATCACCAATTTTATAAAAGTAGATGCTGAATATACTAATTACCCAATTTCTGTATGTCTAATGCATCTGCTGATAATGATACTTGATTTACATTTTCTGGATGACATCTTGGAAAGTCTGCAGTATCCTTAGAAATATCTTGAAAATATCTCAACACAGCAACTCCGTCGCCCCACGAATGCTCAAAATTTAATCCTGATGTTCCATCAGCACATACTATCAATGTGAATGACTTGTCAAACCACCTTTACATAAATATTTTCAATAGATATATGTGAACTTTTGTGCACATATTATTATTAAATCGTTTATTGCTGCAACCTGTTGATTCCGTCAGAATGTAAATATTGCTTAACACAAGGTATTGGATCAGAACCTGGTTTTTCATCGTCAAGAGCAATCATCATAAGACTGTCGTCTATTATTCGCAATGACTCTTCATTTCCTAACTTGATAAGATGATTTCTTAAATTTGCCCAATTATTACGTTCACTGGTTGTCAAAACGCCAATTGGATGATTAGATGGGGCAATATTATCATTCAACACATATTGTATTTTGGATAATAATAACTGAGGGTCTAATATATTACCTTTAAGTACATATTATACAAAATATAAGTATTAATTATAAGTTATTAATAACAAATTCAAATTAAATAATTAATTATGAATTTATGAACAAGTACCTTGATTATCCAGAACATCAAATTTATAAAAATGTCCTCGCCTCATAACTACAATATGTTTACCAGATGTATTATTGTGTAAAACATCTTGATTAGCCATTGGAATTCGAGTATTATTAAATAAAGAACTATACTGAGACATATCTAAAGGATACGCCTGAAAAATTTTAAAAATAAATAAGTGCTCTATATATTATACAGGTATAATAAATAAATTATTCATCATAGATATTTAATTAATAGAATAAAATAAATAATATGTATAAAAAGGTATATATTTTATAAACCTTATGTAGTAAATGTAAACTTCATTAACCATTTTAATGTTTTAAATTTTTATGGTATTCTAAATATACAACTCTAATAACAAAATTAAAACTAAAAAACGTCTAAATAATTCCAATAACTTTTATTAACAACCATTATTAAATTAATTTTGTTGTCTTAGAATTATAATTTAATTCAATAGGCTTAATTATTTCATTTAAAGGAATTTTATAACAGTATGTCTAGGTACTAAAATGTGTATATTTTATATTGTGTATAGCAATTATCCTAATATCTTAATACAACTTCTGAAGCTCTAATTGAATTTTTATTAAATTCAATTAAAAACTAATTTTTAATTAATTTTAAAACTTAAAAATTCTTAAAAATTTTACTCAAAAAATTTAAACAAAAATATAAAAAGCTATTTGCAAATAAACTTAATAGTAAATTAAAATTCTGTTTTAAAATATTTAAATACAATTGACAAAAACTGAAACTTTTAAACAACAATTTTATAAATATATAATATGATTTCAGAGTGGATAAGTGGGAATTTCCATTATTTATTTTCTTTTACAGTGCAGTAACACGCATTATTAATTATAAACTTAGAAAATTGCCTGTATTAAACTCATTTATCCTTAAATACTTATACTTATATTTAAATACTATACTTACATTATACATGTAAGCTCCATACCAACTAATTGATTCTGGAAGATATTTCATTAATTTTCTAAATTGGATGGTATCACTCTTCTTTGGATTAATATGATAAATTTCTGGCTCTAATATATTTGCTTTAAGTGATTTGTAAAATCTAAATTTTAAATGAAAACATAGACATATTTATTAGAATTTTAATAAATTGATGTTAAGTTTAATAAAAAAAATATAGGTAAATGTTATTTAAATTGATTTATTTTTTAAATAAATATAGTCAACAATTGAATGACCATTGAATTATATAAATTATATCTATCAATTAAAGAATATTTCAACAATAAATTATTATTTATAACTATATTATGAATAAAAATATTAATAATTTTATAGTATTTAATGGTTTTAATTCAAACTAAATAAAAAAATTGAATACCATATGATTTAAGTATAATATATGTAAATATACATTTATATTGTATTTATATTTATATATCATTTTTTTAATTATATTTATTATTATTATTATTTATTTGATAAAGTATAATAATAATATAAATGGTTAAGTAATAAACATATTTCACTTAAAATTAATAACTTATAATTGAATTGAAAAACAATTTAAAATAAATAAGGCTCAAGAAAAGGATAATAAACATTTTAATTTTAATTTTTAAATACATTTAATATTTTATTTTATTTTTTAATTTTATTAATTAAATTAATACCTTAATATTTTGAAATTAAATGTATTTAAATCTTGCATTAAAAAATATATTTGAAAATTATATAACTTTAATGCCAAATTACATAAACATTACTAATCATTGAATTAATTGTTTCCTTAAGCATAATTTAGTTGCTCGTGATTGATCCATTGTATTTTAGTGAATTATTAGTAAACTGAATAATTAACAAATTTGTAAATAATTTAAAAAAAATCATGTTTTAAAATATTTTAAGAATAAAAATTGGATTATACTGGGTTTAATTGTTTTTATTAGAAATGAAAATAAATTGGATTGTAAGTTAAGAAAAACACTTTTTGATAAAGATTTAAAAAGACAATATTATCATTAGAGTTAGGATGTTTATGACATTAAAAACACTAAAAAATACATGCAAATATGCACAATAAATATCAAACTATGCCCATAAAAAATTAAACATGTCATTTTAAAATTGTATTTCTTATCCAAAATTTATTTTTAATTAATTTACAACTTTTTTGATAATGATAATTTATCATTATACATTGTACAATTATAGAAATGATTAAATAAAAAAATTTCCAAACTATTACTTTATCAGTGTAAAATAATTAAAACTGGTAAAGATAAAAATTTCTGTGAAAATTAATTTATGAAGTTATTGTAAAAAAAAAGTAAAACATATGCCATAAGTAACATGGTAATTCTGATAATCTAACTAAAAAACAATGAAGTCATTTGAAATAAATGTAATAAATATCTTATTAATAAAGGTCCTTTTATTGAAAATAATATGAAATTAGCTGTTTTTAATTATTTCAATAGCAGTTGTGAAATAATAGTTTCAATATTTGTAAAGCCAATAAATAGATTAGAAATTGAATTTCATGTTAATAACATTAAAGATTATTCCCTTTTTAAATTTGGGTTAAATTAATTATATTTAAATACAAATCTTTAAAATTTAATAAATATATGTAATTAGATAATCAGTTATAAAAGCCAAGTAATTCTACTAATATACATAATTATACTCTCCTTCTTAATATCCAAAATTTAAAATGTTTTTATAAAATATAATATATCAATATTTTTAAACTGCAAGTTTTATCAAATTGGTTTTTTTAAATATTAACATTGCTAATGATATATTATTTATATTTAATCAATTCATCTATGATGACTTAGCAAGTGTTCTAAAATTCTAGGGTTATATTTAAATATATAAATATAAAAGCATTTTATTACATAATATAAAAAGCTAAAATAAAAAACAAAATATACATTATAATAAAATCTAACTTTTTTAATAGAATGCAAATAGTTAAAATAAATAATTCTTTAAATACTCCACTTTAAATTACACAAGATGTTCTTCAGATTACTGTTCTAGAACCTTTTTGGTTTACTATATGTATGTAAAAAATGTTAGCTCAATTTTGGTATTAATATGGAAATAATATGTTACACAGCAGATAGTATGATTATTTTAATTTATGATTGGCTTATAGATTCATCATATATCAACTAATAATGTTATTAAATATACTAAAGATTATTTTGTTAATACCCTAGAAGTATTAAACAAAATTAAACCCAAATATATAAACAATAATATTCAACTCAGATTAAAAAAAAAAAAAAAAACATTCATTCATTTAAATGATTTTCATGTTTCATCTTTTAAAAACATGTTAACATATAATTCAATTTTTTTTTTATAATACTTAATTTGCAAATAATAAGTTTATTTACTCAGCTATTAATCAATTAATTTAATTATAATAAACATCATACAGCTTTTATAAACTTACAACAAGTTATGACATTTAAGTTGAGATAAGTTAACACATATTATAATTGATAATTAGATGGAAAGCGAACTAATATTTAAAAAAAAAAAGAAAAGGAAGGATCCTAATTACCTTGTAACTTATAAATAACTTTTTTAATTTATTTAGAATTGAAAATGTATATTATTCTTTCATAAACATACAAATAATATTACTTGTTTCTTATGTCATAACCATATTACAGGTTTCAAGGCAAATATTATTAAAAGTATAATATACTTTTTTTAAGAGTATACTATAATACATTTTAAAAAGAGATTGAATTCTCTTTGAGCTATTTATAGATATTTTAAAAATCTTAAAAATTGAACAAAGTTATTCTTATGTAGTGCTTGCTAAATCCAATTTATATAAGTAACCACAATTTTTTTTAAACATTTTATTTCCAAATTTTGATGAAAATAAACAAAAAATAACAATTAAGCTTAATTTATAGCAAACTTCACTCGACATCTACTATACAGTAAAGCCCACTTTCCTCCTTTTTTTCTTTTTTGAAGAATGGAAATTCCTATGTTTTTAGCAATATATATTGCATATGATAATATATTCTCAAAAATAAATTTAATTTCTGTCCATATTACACAAAATTTGTAAATAAGATTCATAATATTGAAATTAAATAAGAAATGGTATATACCTAGTTTTAATTTTGCTATCTATTACCATGAAAAATTATAAACATTTTTTTTTCAGGAAGTATTTGTATTAATATAATTTATATAATTTATTTATATTCATTATTAAGATTTCAATTTTAAAAAGCATTATATTATAATTATTTATCTACTTTAAATATAATTTATATTAATTAGGTAATGCTGACCTTAGTGATGATATCAACAAATTAGTAGATCTTAGTAATTGGTTATTATATGCACTATCAAATTGTTTAAACACCAACAATGGATTATAGTTAATTGGTAAAGGTGTTCTTTCTGTCAAATACATATTAAACCAATCCTTAGTAATATAACTGGTATTTTTGTTTGCATCATTTTTTTTTTTTAACATATCTTGTAATAGTTGCCCATCATTTTGTTCAAAGTTTTCCACAATATCTTTAGTTTTCAAATAATCATTTTTTGATAGCAAAGGTTGTTGTGCTTTAAGGTAACGTTGACAAGTTAATTTTAATTCTGGAACTGGAAGTCTAGGTAAAGATCGTTGAAAATGCATTGTAGGTATAATACTGTTCTGAATAAATTGATAGTCATTAGATCGATGTCTGAAAAAATTAAATATGAACAATTAAATACATACAATTACCTACAATTATTTTCAATTAATTAATTGATAAATATAATTTTGTTTGATTAATGTAGAAATGTTTGATATAACTTTTTTTTTTTTTAAATAATTAATTATTTCAGTAAGATTAATTATCATAAAAACACCCATCACATTTTATATACATAACATACATAAAGGTTTAAATAAAGAATATTTATATAAAGTTATGAATAAATAATTGAAATACATTTACATTGAAAGTCTAAATTTTTTATTGAGATATTTAAATTTAAACATTGTAAAAACATAGAATTCAAAATCATAATAACCTAGGTACTTCTTTGTTTTTTAAGAATTAATAATACGATAATATTTTTTTAACAATCTATTAATTATGGATTAATGCTTTTCATTATTTGTTTTTATATAAGCAATTTATATAGACTTTTAACATCATATCATAGAAATTTTTAGAAGTTACTAAATAAATCATAACAAATATTATATTTATACATTTATTATTTAAATAAATAGTGTTATATTTTAAAATATGAATTAATTTAATAAGCCATCAAATGTATACTATTTACCTTATTTGTGTCAACATTTTAATTGCTGAATCTGTATTTTGTAATATTACCTACAAAAATAAAATAAATTAATATCAATGTAATACAAACATAAAAATATATAATTATTATTGTATTGCCTTTTAGAATATTTAGGTCTTTAAATACAAAACTTATTCAAATTATATAAATTACATAATTAAAATTAATATGTTTTTCTTATACACAACCATTTTGACATTATTGCTGATCAGTTAAGTTTGTAAGTTATAGAAATTAAAACCTATAAAATATGCGAACAAAAATGTATAAAAAAATAAATTTATGTATGTAAAAACATTTTTTTAAATTCAAATATATATAATTTATAAATTATTAATGAGATATTAATATATTAGTAAATATTTTTTTTAAATACTTAGTGGCTAGTTGTAAAAACAGTTAGAATATAATTGATTATTTGTCTTTGTGTTGTATACCTAAAGGTTTATGCCATAACAAAAAGTGATGTAATAAAAGTTTTGTAATAGTGAATAAATTAGCTTTTTATTAATGAAAATTTTTAGAAGACATCTGAGTATCTAAAAATAATTTTTTTATTATTATAATGTTAGCAATATACCTCCCATTGACTTGAGTTGCTTTATCCATAAACATAAATATTTAATTTCACGTTATGATAAAACCTGTTTTAAAAAATATGTATTTTATAGCAATCCCCAATATGTTTTTTTTTTTTTTATATAATACTTTTATTAGGCATAATTAGAGCCGTATTTAAATTTCATAGGCAGCTTAGAAGCCTAAACTATAGAAAAGTCCAAGAAAAAAAAATATTTTTGTGTATATTAAAATATTTTACAATAATAATACCATTAATGTTGTGTAGTTTTTATTGTTATTAGTATTTAGATAGGAACTATAAAATAACCACGACCATCAACAACAGATTATTGCTAACCAACACATCACAGTGTCATCATTTTTGTTGTCAATAGCTAGATGATGAAGTATTGAAATTAACTATTATTTTTTTTGTTATCAAGAATTTCAAAATTAAAATAAAATTTCTGTTGTAAGTAGACAGCAATTATAAAATTCATACTTCTATGATAGTTGATAAGTAACCACCAACATCTAATGACATTGATTCTATCAATTTAATGTGAATAATATTGAAATAAATGTGTTAAATATTTATTGAAACTTGACAATATTTTTAATTTTTTAAACACTGATCATCATAAAATGAAAGAGGTATTTAAAAGTGCTAGTAACATTTACTTCAATGATTATTTATTTTAAATAATGTCTATGTATATTAATTATATTCCTGTACTCATAGTAGGGCCTGCACTATAGGCTAACCTAGGGGCCAATAAATTCTATATATGGCCCTAGATACAGCATTAAGTCTTAAGTATTTTACAACAAAACTTTTAGAATTCTGTGTCGAGAATTTTATTTATTGTTATACATTAAATTAAATTTTAATTAATTTAAATGTTTGGACAGATTTTTAGAAAAAAAATGTATAACATTTTTAAAATAATATAGGCAATTACTGCACTTTTTTAAATAAATTATCATTATTAGTCATAGACAATAGGTTATTTATGTTATTAGAAATAATTTAATTAGGTTAGCTAACATTTGCAAATTCTAAGCATTATTGATCAAATTTTCTCTGTGCTCCACATTAATCAAAAAAATTCTTTTTTTATATAATAATTTTTTAGTTGATGTATTATCAAGTTGACAATTTCATTATTATAGGTAAAATCATGAACCAAATTCCAAACCTAAACATACCAGTCTTATATAGATATTCATTTTCATAATAGATTCTATAAGTAATTACTAATAAATTAATAAATTGATGAACCATTTTCTAATTTTATTTTGAATTGCCTACTTTTTACTTTTCAGGGTTTTTAAAAATAATTTAAATTATTAAGTAAAATTTAAAATCATTAATTAAGTAATATCAACCTTTTAATTAAATTTGTTTTGTTGTCATAATATTTTACATAACTTTGCATTTTGTTAAATAAATTAATTGATTTGTAATTAATTAATTGTATAGACTATTATTTATATTGAATGTGATTCAGTACCAAGGTCTTAAACGTTATGTTTACCTGTTATTCTAAAAACCATGTAATATCTATTGTTCAATAACAAATTAATATTATAAGTATTCAGTAGCAATTTTTTTAAGTTATAATTTAACACACATAATTTGTCATTTCATTAAATCAAATTATTTATAGTTCTTAAAAATATAGGTACTCAAATCTCAAATGTGTATTTAATATCGTTCTTTTTTAATAACTAAATGATTGAATAAAGACAAAGACACTCACTTTTTCAACCACATGGGAGTTAATCGATGGCTTGTACTTCGAAAGCATTTTCTTTAATTATATTGTTCGTAAACGAAACAAGACAAACAAACTGTTACTTAAACGTAATAATGTATTCACAAAGTCTTAAGTTAAATTCAATCGAGTATTGAGCAGTTGAGGATGTTAAGACCTAGTAAAACGTCTGCCATAAACATGACAAAATTATATAAGGACACTTGTTTTGTATAAAATAATTGAATAATGAATAAATTAATAGATACTCGTAATAATATGACAACAACTATTGTGTTGTTTCGTTATCATTAGAAGAAAAAAAATGTTGTCATGATATTTTTTTTAATTGATAACAAGACATTGAATAGCTTGTGTCGTTTGATGATAAACTCGAATACTCAGTACTCGCATAAATCGCATTGGATTTTTTATACCAGTTAATTAAAAGTTAAAACATTCTTTGATGTTACACAACTCATTTATACTGAGCACCAAACACGTTAAAAAAAAAAACTGTTACAATAATACACATCTAATATTTTTCTTTGAAACTTGATTTAGGTTTTAACTTTTTTATTTCTCTATAATATAATATGTAGGTACCTATTGATTATTCTGTATAGTGTATACTGAATATTAGCGTTCTCAGATTACAATATTAATCCGTGCTCGCGCCTTCCAATAAATTTTATTTTTTAATGATGCGGAAAATTAACACAAAACCATCTCTAGTATTTATAGTTTTTATAATTCCCAAATAATTTTATCGGATAGTTTAATAAATGAATAATTTAGAAAAAATATTCCTTTGATACCTACTAGAAAGGTAGGTATATCAAATTTATTTCATAATATTAATAAATATAATATTATTATCAAGCATTTTTTGTGATGTCCGATGAACTTGCATTAGTAATTAATGGGTTTTTTCACTTTATTGCTATATAGTGAGTCGTTACGTTTTATTTGAAAGCAATACATTATTTTTTTTACAAAACTGCACTTACTTTTGTTTTTTAAACAAGAAATGTAGACATTAATAGTTTTAATAGTTGACTTGTTCAAAGTTCAAAGTACTATTAACACTCAATAACACTCATTAACGCTCGTTAATTGTAACGACCATTTATAAAGTACTATACTCAGAGGCGTCATTTAAAAGATTGTAATAGAATGCAAAAATAATTTAATTAATATTCAATTGTAATCAGAATCACTATCAAAATAGATATTTTTAGATTTATAAATTATTATTTAACATTGTAGAGCTTTAATATTTGATCATTTTTTCTTTAACTCTAATGAAAATAAATTGATAATAATTAATGCTAAAAGATTATTTATATTTTTTGAATTAAACATAAGATAATACAAAAGGTATAATAAGATAATTAATATTTAAGTATCTAACTACTTAAATTCTTCAGTAAATATATTTTAAGCTATTAGGTTAGTAGAATTGAAAATTTCACTTTATCATTAAAAATGTCTAAGACCTCATCAAATTGTTTTTAACTATATTAGAAACATGTTTATCAATTTCGATAAAAAATTGCTAAATGTTAATAACGTGTAAGGGGTACAAATCATTCTCTTGCAAACCACAGAGTAATGTACTAAAATACAATTCTTCAATTCAAGTGATTACAGAGAAATTCATGATAACAAATATTAAAAAATGTTTTTTCGAAAAATATGAAATAGTCTAGAATAATAACAACTTACAGTATGCTAAAAATCTTTAAATCTCTCCCTCTTAATAAAATGTATTTAATTATATTTTATTTATTTAACTCATTACGAAGATCATTTTAATCTTTCGAAGAAATTCTCATTATTTTACAAAATTATTGAAAATTTCACTTTCAGTTTTGCATTAAATATTTAAATTACTACGAGTTGAAGAGGATGATAAGTGAAGAGAGACATTAATAATCATTTAATCAATCTTCGGATTGAAAACATAAATAAATATGTTTAAATGTAGAATTAGATAAACAAGTAATAATTTGTGATTTTAATAGGTAAAACCAAATAAAGTATCAACAAAATATTTTATTACCATAATAAATATGAATATATTAATAAAATATACAAATCAGTAACAATAACAATAACACTTGGTTTTGTCTAAAATTTCTAAATATCTAATGTAAATGACATAATTAAAGTCTCAATACAAATTATATATATTTGTTTTGTGATTGTGTATGTGACTAGAAAAAAAAAAATATAATATTTATAGGATAATACTTTTAAAAAATAAAAATATTTTTTACAAAATGTTTTCTTAAACAATATTTATTAAATTTTCAAAATAATACTAGGTATAAAGGAGATTTCAAATAATATTTGATAGAAAAACAATTTAATTAGTTAAGTATTTTTTAAATATTCACAAATGAGATGAGATTACCTAAAATAACGACTATTTTTAAACATAAATTAACTTATAAGTAGCACCGTTACATAAGGAAACAACTGTAATGTGAGCAATATAATATGATTATTGTTTATTACCCTTTTTTTGTTAGTCTTTTATATTTGTCTTTCTATATTATTAATTATTTACGTCAAAAATTATATCTTATAACTAAATTAGTATATGTATAACAACTAACAAGAATATAGTATTTTATAAAAGGATAAGTTTCTACTATATCAAAACATTATTTTGTTCATCATTAAAAATGTGAATGTGTTAAATTAAACTAATAATAATAAAAAAAAAAAATTAAAAACCTTCAGTGATTACAAACTTTAAACTTGTGAAAGTGGAAATGAAAAAAAAAACAGTGCAATATTGTCATCGATTATGATGTCATTTTATACATAATAAAGCTTTTATTATAATGAGAAATAATAAGATGATTTTATAATGGAACATGATATGGTTATTTTAAAATACTGTCTTGAATTTATTGATATTACTAGATTTTTGTTGATATTGCACTTTACTACGTTTTGGTCTTTGAACGGGTACCTCTTCAACGACAATAGTAGATTCTATTGGCAATGAATCAGAGGAAGAATCTGATATAGAATCTTCTATAATAATGGTTGTAGGTTTCTTTTTTTTCACTTTTCTTATGACAGCTGCTGGCTGTTGAGATAAACATTCATCATCCAATTTCACCATTTGTTGAAGAACCATTGGCATACGCCCAACCTATAGTAAATATAATATTAATACATTTATAGATGATTTGTTTATAATTTAATGGAACTAGTGATTATACTTTTGTATAAAACAACAATTTATGTAATGCCAGAAAGTCCATTTAGTTGAATGGTTTATTCAAATAGGAAAGAAAAACAAGATTAAAAATGCTTAAAATAAATATCAAACCGTATTGAAAAAATTAAAATAGGCAAAATAAAATTGTCAAAAAGATATTAATATATATTCTTTATTTTAATCAATTTTATTTTGGAATTTTCTGTTTGTTGATACCTATTTGGCAATTGATAAAATTATTAATAACTTAAAATCACTTAAATATTAGGGTCGCTTCAATCTCTAGATTTCTAAAAACTTTAAATCTAATTCTAAACAACCTAGATGATAAAAATGTCAACAAAATTTTTAAATAGCTCTTTTTATACATTTTTATCAAGCTTAAAATATTAAAAAATAAAAAATAAAAATTGCATACAAGACATTAGAAAAGTGTGAAAAAAATTTATATATTTCTTGAACATTTTTTAGAATAAACAAAAAATATGTAATTTCTAAGTCTTTTCTACTAATAGCATAAATGAGGAACATATAACTTAAATATTAGTATTAAAGAAATCACTTTCTAACTAAATTAAATAAGTATACAAAATCACAGCATATTGTATTTGACTAATACAATCTATTAATCCTAAAATAAAATGATTGATTATGGAGTGAACTTGAAATAATTTAATTTAATTTTCTATAATTTTATTTATCTAGACAATGTTTATAAATATTAATGTCCCACAAATAAAAGTTTTTAATAATACAAATTTATCCACTTTTTTTATTTTTTATTTAGCTGCTAGTAATAATTTATGGTAGCTCAACAATTACATTTTTAACAAAGAATTTAAATTACATTTTATCATATAATGAAGCTAGCATCCAATATTTAAGAAATTAAAGTTTTAATAGCTATGTAGATTTTGCAATGATTATGAAGAATATATTAAAAGGGGTATTAAGAGTTTTAAGCATGTTAATTAAAGTTAGGCGTTTGGCCTATAAGACAGGGCTAAATTTATCCACTTATGCTATATAATATAAGTGTATCAGATTTTTTTGGTCAGTTTTAGGTATTTTTCAGATCTTTAATATCTTATTTCTAATAATGTATATTGAATACTTACTACTGTGTGCTGAGCTACAATTGCAGCTGTCATTTGAAAAGTTTGTTTGGCGGTTGAAGTTAGAGCATTGTAGGTACGTGATTTAACATTGACTAAAAATTCATCAATATCCTGTAAACAATAAATAACAGTTATATATAATAGCCAAATTTGTTATAATTTTATAATGTTGATTATTGTTTTTACAGTTTCTTTTTTCAATAAAGTTGGATGTACTAGTTGCTTGTATAAAATTGTTGAACCTTTTGTAAATGGGCATGAAATCCATAATAGCACAAGTAATTTAATGTCATAATAAAATGGAAACCTATAATCATATAATGTAAGATTTTTTTTAGTTTTAATTCAAATAGTGATAGTGTAAATATTTTACCAAAATTCGAGGAATATATCAGTTAAGCTTTCGATACAAATAAATGCTGCAAAAACTATCCAATACATCATCCACTTAACCTGTAAGCAAAAATATATAATTTTTTATTATTTTAAACAATTCTAAAATAAAATGATACTAACATACAATAGTATTTATTTTTTTTAAGCAACTTAAACTTTAAACTATTATTATAATAAATAAAGATTGGAGTATTATAAATAACTTAGTAAAACTTTGAAATGTGATTTATAATATTTCAAAATAATAAGATTTATTTAAATAGGTCAAATAAGAATATACATTTTATTTGTTAATCAAATTATAATTATCCTATCTTAATTTCATAACTTTAGTTTGTTTATTTTGTTATAGTTTAGTGCATACTGATTTATTGATGAATGTGATACTAGGATGTTTTAGTCAAATTAGACTACACATTAATAAAACTATGAAATTTTAATAGCTAATAATAATTAAGTACAATCATATATATTTTACAAGAACAAAATTTATTGGCAAATCTAAGAGGTGCTAAACATTTCTAAAATTTAGACCATTGAAAACTTACACACTACTAACTACTTATCATAAATATGTTAATACATAAATAATTTGTTTTTAAATATATTAATTTTGATCAAATCTAATTCATATTACAAATCCTCCTCTTTATCCTCTTAATATTGCATATTTTTAAAATCTGATTTTTAAAATACAAATAATAATTTTAAATAAACATAAACACCATATTTTTAAATACTTAGAAAATTGTCATTTAATTTAAGGAGTATTCTATGGTGATGTATAAGTATTTTTTTTAAAAGATTATACTTTTTACTGCTAATTGTTAATCAGGTGATATTTTGAAAACACATCTGACATATCCTAGGTAATCTAAAGTCCTTAATAATGGTGCTATATAGATTTAGAAAATATTTTCCATATTTATTATTAGGTATGCAAAATTACAAAGTTAAATAACATTAAAAAAAGAATGCATTTGAATTTTTATAAATTAAAAATATCACCTCTTTAATAGTTAAATAATTTATTTATAAATAATAAAGAATAGTTAACATTTAAACAAAAGAAGTTTAAATTTGAAAAATGGTTTTTACTCCATCAGTAAGTATACTGAAATTTTTAATATTTAAATAAAAATATGTATTAAAGGAAAAAATGAAAGTGAACAGTGAGAACACTTAGATTCACACCTAGTAAATATATGATACCTACTTAATCCTTCTATTAATTATTATTTTCATAATATAACTAATATAAGTCAATTTTTATTCATTTAAATAACAAAGATTAAAAAAAAAATATAGATTCAGAGTTTAAGCCTGTCTAAACAAATGTATCGAGCCCTACTTTTAAATTATCTGTACATTAAACATTACTCACATAATTTTTCACATTTTTGTTTTTCACTGTCTTGTACGATGCATAAGCTGGATACATTACACCAAATAAAAGTCTATAAGTATCAATGATAATATTTTTATGATATAAATTATTCATGTATATAAAAAAAAAAATTTACTAATAATAATTAATTTTTAGAAAATTGACTTACGTTAATGCTTTGCACACAGCTCCCGGAATCATATTGAACAAATCAATTGAATAATTTAAAATGAAGATTTATACATGGATTGATTAACTGTTTGCTAATTATTTGTTGGCTATTTTAAAAAGGAACATTGTCTATTTTCTGTTTAAAATGAACTTGCCCAATTTTAAAAGTTGTTCAAATTCATTTTTTTTCTTACATCTAAACAGTTTATTTGTGTTTTTTTATTCATTTATTGTAGTTAACGATCGAGAAATAAAATTGTTACACATTATACACGCAATACACTACATAATAATTCCTTCATTCTATACGATTCTACTACTATATAAGGCAACGGATTTCAAAACATTATGAACGATCACGGTCTACTAACATATCTAATTTGTCTCGATGAAAAAAAAATATAATATTCTTATTGGCTACGATTAGCTATCACAGGCTGCTTTTGTTTTGGTCATAGACCTTAACACAATCGGAGTAGGGTTTTTTTGGTGTTTTCTTTCTTCATTTGATAGTAATTTTTTCTTATCGTTAAATAATATCATATGATAGTTAAAAATTAGTCTTTACTCTTTAGTCTTTACCACTGTTAGATATGAATTGAGTAACAACCGACAGACGACATCTAAATTCTTTTTCTTTTACGATTTACGAAGTTAAAATTGTTCCCAAATTTTAATGTCGATTGTCTACTAGTTTTTCGAAGAGCTTATTGATTTGTTTTTTAATTAATTGTGTATTGAAATTGGTAAATAAAATAAATAATAATTCGTTTTAATAACAATAACTTACGCGTGTTATTATTTTTTAGATTTTTTAAAATGATTACTAAATTAAAGCATAATACATAACACTGACTCGGATGTTTTATAAAAATTACCATGGTGATAGCTAACTGAATAAATCACTTGTTCTGTATTTTCTGAATAACTTAAATAAGAATTAAGTTTGTTTTATTTAATCAATATTTTTATTTTTGACTGATAACAACTAGTTCACAACTTAAGTTCCAAATGTTTTAATCCCAATTGCTCAGGTATTCAATGTATTAATTATACCAAGTGCCATGTGATTTAAACCTACGATTGATTGAGCTATAAATATTAATGATTAATTATTTATATATCAAAATAAGTGAGATATTACTCGTTTAGTGCGTTGTAAACTTAATTTTAATGTTTGCGTTACCTTTTACATGTTTGATGATGTATCTTAAAGGTATTTTACAATGATGCGCTAATGCTCTGTTGTTCTCAAAAATATACCATATGATCCTGACCTGTAGAATCAACCAAGTTTGATTATTTTTATTTAATTAATAATGAAAAACATTCTATAGACTACATTGAATTTTGTTTTTCAATATTGACTCAAAAATAATATATCTAATAATGCTATGTTTATTTACAAATTGTTTTATACAATTACTTAATAAAAAATAAAATTCAAAGTTCAATGCTGGTTGTAAAATGTCTTCTTTTAAATAAAAAAACAGATTTCAAACTCTAAAATTCTTTAAAACTTGAGTTTTCTTGTTTATTTAATACACTGTATCAATGTCAATTATGTAACGGGCAGTAGATTAATGGAAAAATATTATAATTAATGTGGCAACTGAAATATAAAATTTTATAGAAATGTTTCCCCATTTCTGACACCAGAAAATTGAATAGTAGGTATATTTAATTATAAAAACTTGATTTCATATATTTTTGAGATTTAAATTGTACTACACTGTTTAAGTTCTAGATATTTCTTGGTTTTATTTGAAAATTTTGTTTAGTATATAAGTATTAATTAAAATTTGTAATATTTAATTAATATACATCTCATCTGTTTGTTTATTATTTTATATCATATATTGTCTATATTTTAATTATTATCCATTACTTAATACTTACCAATACATTTTTAATTATGTAATTGATTAATTATCATGTTTTAGTTATTACTCTTAGCTAAAAATTATTAAATAATAGATTCTTCTTCTGATATTTCATCTAAATTCATATTGTTAAAGTATAGTTTTGATTTTTAAGTAATTAATAAAAATCACAAGTTTTGATACCAATGATGGATATTGTTTTACAAATTTAATATGATATTTATTGAACTGGCTTACGAAATTATTACTTCTAAATTCATCTCCAAAATTTTAGAAGCTATTTTTTAAATCTTGAAAAATTAAAATATTAATTGTCCTCTATAAATACAATTTCAGTTAAACCGTAACATATAATGTCGTAAAATTAATCTATTGTTAATTGAATGTAATTAATTTATCAAATAAAAAGTTTTCAATATTAAGCTGGTAGACATAATACTGGTATACTGGTACATTCTACAATAGTCAAAAATTAAATAGTTATAATAGCTAAAAATTTTTATTTGCCATATTTTCTTGTTTTTTTTCATACCAAAAAAATTAAAAAATACAGTTAAATAATACTTCTATATAATTATAAAATATATTTTAAAGTTACAATCAGTAGCAATTGAAATATCATTAGCTATAGTTGAATTATTTAACATGAATACTTGACTTGTATTTCAATCAAATTTTAAAATAATGCCTATGATAATGAAATAATCACTGTTATTACAAAATAATTATTATAATTTTAATATCAAATTTTAAAAAATAATTTAAGTATAAATTAATTAATTGTAGCTTTAAATTATTTGAACAGCCATGATTAATTCACATTTAAAGGAATTACTGTTTGAAATTGTGACAAAATAATATTAATTTAAGATATTTTAACTAAACATCTACATGAATGATTTATACTCAAAATTTTAATTATTTTAAAAATTATAGAGTGAAAAATAAAACCAATAAACAACAACTAAAATTTTGATATTAACTTCAATACATTGAAATGATTAAAACCAGCTAAAAACATTTCATGCTTTGTTGAAAATCAATTTAATTTTGAAAATAATAATCTCATTTTTTTTGTCATAAATCATAAATATTTAAAACATTAATTACAAAATAATTTATAAATATAACATTTGTTTAGTGAATAAACTGTTATACATGTCTGATGATATATTACTATTTTATAACACTATTATAATTACAAAATATTTTAAAATATTCATTTTTAGTCAAATTATATGTGCCTGTAAAAAAAAATTAATAGTAAAATATATCTTAACTTTTTTTTTATATTCTGTTGCATTGCTTTTTTCATGGATCTAAAATATACAGAATGATTCAATATTTATGTTACAGCTTTTCTATCATATAAATATTCATGATAAAAAAAAAAAAAATATTTAATACAAACATTTTTTATACATAATATCTATAATCAAGTAAATTTATATTTTATTATAATATTTTAAAAGGTTTTGGGAGTCAATTAAAACAAATTTCTATACTAATAACCTACACTTTTTTTGCATCAATAATATAAAGATTATTTTCTGGAGTATATTAAAACATAAAAATTAAAAATTGGATAAATAGTTTAGGAGTTTAAAGTATTTAAAGTTCAGTTGAGTGGAGTGAAGTAGTATGAAAATTCCTGCTAAAATGTCAGTCCATTACTGTATAAATATTCATTAAAAACTTAATTGTACTTATTTAAATTTATAATAAACAAAGTTACAGATATAAAATCTTTCTATGAAAAATAAAATATTTAAAAAATATTGTCTAATATGGATAGCCAACTTTTTTCAGGCTTTTGACCAAATTTTAAAATCATATCAGTTTTTAAAAATAATTATGTACCAAAGACATATTCATAACTATAAACATTTTTATTTTTAAATAATATTTAATACAATTTTTTCAGGAATAAACAGCTTTATTGTTGAATTATTGTTCCTGCTTGCGTACTAATTCTTTTACTATTTTCATGTTTTCTTAAAAAGAATTGAAATAAAAAAAAAAATTATGATTAATTATAATTATTATAAATTATTAACAAATCAAAATTATTACAAAAAATATTATTACTTGCAATAACACTGAAAATGTTATTTAAATCACAAAATGAATTAAAATCTTTTCGATTTCCTGGATTAATATCCAAAATAAAGTCTGGACCATAAGCCGAAAAATGCTGAAACAAAATTAATGCTTTTAGATAAAAATAATTTTAAATAACTGATTAAACATATTTTAGTTAAAATTTTTCAATCTATTATTTGTACATATTATGGTTATGTATTTTTTTTTTTTTTACATTTACCTCATTATCTGGAATATCACTAGACAATGAATCATCTTGTCCAGTAATAATTGCAGTTAAATATGTCCAACAACGTGCAACATTTGCTTCATTATATCCACCTAGTTTAACATTTTAATAAAAAAGTGTTGTTAAAAAAAATTAATTTACAAAAAATATTTTAAATTGTAGTATTCAACATTTCTAGAATACTATTTGCAAAAAAAAAAAAAAATATATATATATATATTATTTCCACAAATTTAAAGTCGCAATATAATAAATAGGTAGTCAAAACTAATTTGACCTAATCAGATATTCAGTACAAAATTAATAAACTGAAAGATAGTTTAAATTTAACTGGAATAATGGAATAGCTTATTTATATTTTGGACACCCATATTATGTACCTTGTCTTCATGATAAATTTTTAAAACATTTATTACCTCCACCAAGAAATAATGTAGGTTTTCCCCATTTCATTATGATTTTCACACATTCAGCTAATGCTTTTGGTGTTAAGTTAAATCCTCCAATTGGATCTCCGGCTAAACTATCCGCTCCACATTGTAGAACAATACATTTTGGATTATAGGAACTATATACCATATTACTAATTCTAAATAAAATAAATAAATATGATTTATTTTTAGTTAAAACATTACTATGTATTGAAATATTAGTTATTCATAATTACGTTTGAAACATAGTTATGTATTTATCATCATTTATTCCTTCTTTAAATGGTACATTTACAGTAAAATATTTTCCTTTATCTATTCCAATATCATCCAACGATCCACTGGTAGGATAAAAACCCGGTTCATATTGATGAAATGAAAGTGTAAGAACTTTATCTGTAGCCATATATGCATACTCAACACCATTGCCTAAATAAATAAGAAATCTTTATTAACATAAAATTTATTCATGAAAAAAAAAAAAGATAAATTCATAAAAATAAAATAAAATATAATTAATATTACCATGATGAACATCAATATCAATATATAACACCTTTCCAAATGTTGTTCTTAATATCTCAATAGCTAGAACTATATCATTTACATAACAAAAACCTTGAGCTGAATCTCTATTAAAAATAGAAAAATATGAATTGAATGGCATTAAATAAAGTTATAATATAATTAAGTAAATTTTTAATTATAATAAATAATTAATAATATAATGTATAACCTTAATGCATGATGCCAACCTCCACACCAATTGATAGAAAATTTGTATTTCATGGTTGTTAATGCTTTTGCAGCAGTTAATGAAGCACCCGAGATATATGTAATAAATTGCCATATATCTTTTACTACTGGACAATCATAACCTAAATATATATATATGTATTTAAATTATAATTTAGATCTAATAATTTGGTTAGTATAGCTGATAGTATAAAAACTGT